TGGATGCGATGGGATGAGCCAATGTTCTCGGAAGGAGATCAAAAGCCAATGGGTTCGTCTATAGACCTACCATCTATTTCCCCCCACACAGATATGAGCTCTCCGAGTCATTTGAACTACAAAGACTTCTCGCCTAATCTTCCCCTCGGCTTGGTGGAAATTCCATCTGAGCCCAATGCCGGGAACAACCTTGGCTACACCCACAGCCTGCCTGGAAAAGACTGCCACACCAGCCAGCAACAACATTCAGGTCTGGTGTCTCCAATCTCAAGTGCTGGGACAAGCCGGAAGCGAAAGACCGGCAGCGATGACGACGCCACCACAGTGACTGGACCAGTGCAACCGGGCAAGAAAATGCCTGCCAAAAAGCGGGCTCACAACGTCATCGAGAAGCGGTATCGTGCCAACTTGAACGATAAAATCGCCGAACTTCGCGACAGTGTTCCCAGCCTGCGGTCGACCAAGAACCCGAATGGAGGCTCACCCGATGATGACGACGAAGCGGAGGCAGCAAATGCCGCGAACAAGCTCAACAAAGCATCCATTTTGTCGAAAGCGACGGAGTACATCAAGCATTTGGAAATTCGTAACCAACGTTTGGAAGACGAAAACACTGATTTGAAGAATCGGCTCCGTCAGGCTGATAAGGCAGCAGATCAAGCCGCCACATCCTCGGCATCTGTGTCCTCTCCCAGCAACTACGCCTCAACGGACTCGGCCTCCGGTAGCTCACCTAGTGTGTTTTCTCAGGCGGAAGAGGTGTCCAGCGACGGTTCACCCACCTCTCAGAACCCCCCAGAAGGCCTCCTTCCGGTTCCTGATGCATGGAAACGTATGCGATCTGAGACTGCAAAGCAAGGAATCTTTGCCGAATCCTATATCAAATACCCCTCGTCATCATCCTCATCTCATCAACCACAATATGCGAGAGAAGATACCTCCACCCGACGTTCAAGGATGCCCAACAAGTATATGCTGGGTGCCCTTGCCGGTCTGATGGTTCTTGAAGGTATGGGCTCTGACGATTCCGAGTCCGAGCCGAAGGGCCTGTTTGCACTCCCTATCAGCCTTCTCAGCCGTTTCCAAACACCTACACTGGCACACTGGGAATTCTATCTGAAGCAGTTCTGGTACTCGTGGCAGGCTCGTGCATTTTCTCATTTCCTCATGCTAGCAACGCTGGTCGTTGGTAGTGCTTTCATTGTTTTTGTCTACTTGTTCAATGCGCAGCCCATCACGCGACGTGGCCCATCCAAATCGGCTTCTGAGGGCCCGCCTGCGCCCCTTACGTCTAGTGATTTCCGCCGGCAGGCTTGGTTAACTAGCATGCAACGCGCCGGTGTTCCACGTCATAGATTCTTCCGAGAGTGGTATGTCGTTACTTCGAGATGCTTTGAATACGTCTTACGATGCTTCATGGGATGGCAACTCTATTCGTGGGCCACCGGAATCACCGAGGAAGATGAAAAAGGGCGAGTCAAGACTTGGGATATTGCAATTGATGCTCAACTCACTGGTGGAGATGCTGAGATCAGCAAGAGCCGCCTTGTGCTCACTATCTTCGCTGCTGGCACACTCCCCTGCACTCCCACGAGAATGATAATCAAAGCCTTGCATGTCCGCATTCTTTTGTGGAACGTCGGAGAGGCAGGCTCCTGGTCATTCCATGTGTCAAACGACATTGCACGAGCTCTTGCCAGATTCCAGTGGGGTGTGGCTCGAGAATTAAATGCCGCGCTCCCTGAGGGTCACCCTGATCAGCTTCCCCCTCATCTTGCTGCCTTGATCAAACTAGATTGCGAAGATGTCATGATTGACAACATTATTCAACGTGCTGTGAATCTGACATGGAACCGACCAACTCAAGAGGGTACTGGCGACGACGAAGTGCTGCTTGACGTTGTGGACGAAGACCCGGCCATTCAATGTTCCCAAGATGCACTTGCGGCTTGGTGGTCCAGTCACCTTTTGCAAACCGCCCTTCTCAATTATTTCGAAGCAAGTGAGAAGGGCCCGGTGTCCAAGGCAAGCCGTGATGCATTCAAAGAGAAGATTCGTATGTCTCTCGATGTGGCGCCAGTGCTTTCCGCCGCGCACACTCGAGCACTTGTTATGAAAGCCGTATTCTTTGAACAAAACCGCATTGAAAATGTCGGGGCAGTTCTTGCCGCACTGCCGAAGGAGAAGAGAAAGGGAAGTCAGAGCCACTCGTCCAACTTCCTTGATTCCTCTCTCCCCGTTTCTGTGCGGGACGAAATCTCCATTGCCGTGCGTTGTGCTATGATTGCCACCATTGTCACCGAACGATCCACAGGCGACTCTTCCTCACTACCGGAGTCTTTCACCATTCAAAAGGCCATTACTTGGTTTAATCAGCTTCCGATCGATCCAATCGAGCTTTCTCTCATTGGGTTTTCGTCTGTCTATCACCTCCTACACCTCCTCGCCTCTGACGTGGATTATATCGCGTCATCCGATTCATCCTGCCCTTCGACTCCAACCTCAGAGGCTACTTCCTCCGCAGACGATGAAGCTGAAGAAAAGCCCCGTTCGGCCCACAAGCTCTCCATCTTCCCCCGCGACATTCCCAATCTCGGGCGGGTATCAGCAGAACTCATTTATTGGGCCCGACATGCCTACACCCCGGCTTTCTACGGCTTTTCATCTACTCTTGTAGAAGTAATCGTCAATTCGTGCACAGCAGTTTGCCAAAACGCAGGCATCAATGTTGATGACTTTGTTCACACTGCGCCTGACAGGGCTTTGTCTAAGCAACGCAGGACCCGTCGACGCAGGGGAGAATCCCAGTCATCTCAAAGCGACGCCGATCAAGATCTAGTTGATTATCCCGTCCAAAGACCGTCTCTGCGTCGGGAACGATCGGCCAGCAACGACACTGGGTATGGCAGCCTCTCTGTTGAGGAAGATGCACAGCCAGTCCCCCAAACCCCTCCCAATGTGCAGGAGGTACCTGGCTGAGGTCTCCAATTACCACAGCCCCCTGTGTCACTTATGCAAACCCAATAATGACGGCGTTTTCGGTTTTTGTATTCTAGTTTGGTTATGGTCAAGGGTTCTTTTTGGTCATCGGGAAAAGAGGGGGAAATGGAATGGTATCGATAATAGCGTATTTGTATAAGCTCTAGCGTCAAATAGAATGGCATCCTCATAACATATATGATAAACTCACAAAGTCATAGTTCAAAACTGCAGGTGTATTGTATGAATTCAGGTAGCATTAGAGGGTCTTTGCCTATGATATCCAACATGGACAGAAAAATTCTACATTCAGCTTGTTCTAGGGCTGAGAGTGTGTGCAATTCATTTTTGGCATAGGCCATTTGCTCTGATGGTAGTTGCCAATGTTTGCAGCCGTCTTCTCTTGACCTTGCGCAACAACGGGAGATGGTCTGTGCATTGGATTCCGCTTCAAGTTGTTTCCGGTCATGTTCATCTAATGAGATCCATCTCGTTTTAGTATGTATTTTCAACATTGTACATATACTATAACTAGTTAACTAGTTAACTAGTTATATGTTGTATGTGGTATTTTTGTATGGATCAATCTAGGCCCTGAGAACCTCAAATCCCCAATGTAACAGAACCTTCCTTTGGAAGGTTCCGTACGGAGTTACGGAGTACGTACAGGCTGGTTAACTAAGTATTTAAGGCATCAATTATTTATGCCAGGAATCTAAGGCCATCTATCTCACTAGCAACCCATGGACCGACCTCCTGACCTGTATAGTCACGATACCACATACAACAAGCACTCCACTTAACTCATCTGAAATATTCTATTCCTTTATCTTGCATATTGTCACATACTTGGTTTTCCTGAGGCGATAACTCGGCTTGCCTCATCATTTTACTGTCCATCTGATTCAAGGCATCAGCCCCGCCACGACCCTCAACCCGTTTCGGGCATTTCGTGAAGCGGAATGGTCAGCGGTGCTTTCGAGAGCCTCGGCTCAACGGAGCTCACTGAACTGGCGTGAATTCCGAGAGAAGTCGTTTGGTAATTGTGTCCATCTGGTATCATTCTATACACACTCGGACCCTTACCTAGAATCTCTCGAGCCAATTTAGAAGTTTTTGCGGCTCCGAGTCTTAGTATAGTGTACTATGGCGTCATATATACAAGGTTCGACTACTACGCTGCAGTTTGCACCTCGAACTTGACCATTGTCTCTAACGTTACGGTTGCATCCCATTGAACCGAGTGTTCGATGCTCGAGTCATTTTAAGCGTCTTGTTATCGAGAGTTCTGAAAATTGATCTGCAAATCTCAAGCAGAATCGACCCGATTCAGGAACTAAATTGGTTATTATTTTTTTCATGTTCACATATCTTTGTTCTTATCCCATGATATGACTGATTGGGGGACGAAGAATGCTGGAAGTGACAGCAGGTGTCAACATTCCGTTTTCGGGTTGCCGAACAAGGGCTCCATCTATACGGCCACCCCTACGCCTACAATGATGGCCCAGCCCGCTACATCACCCCGAGGTCCACATGCCCTTCAATTGGTCATGACAAGGCAGTTGCCAGAGACTTGGAATTCTTCACTACTCGAGCGCATCATCTCCACTCAGAATAAACTTCGCACGCATGCCAAGGTCCATTTCGCCCAATTCGACGTTACAGTGGCCATGTGAGACACAATTGTCTACGCTTGTCGTGTAAACGTGAGGGTGGGTTCGTTCATCTTTTTTAAAAAAAAATAAACTTGCGGGACCTGCACCGGTCAATGACGGCATGTCTCCATCCATGGATGGCTAGTCTGGAAATTAATACAACGCCAATGATGCCCACGTCTTACTTTCCTTTCCACGCGACCCCAGTACCATTTGAAGCATATTCCGCCCAAACCTTGTGTTCTCGCCCTTTCTCGGTCTTGAACTCTTCGAGGGTTGGATAATATATGCTCATTGTGGTTGACGGTCTTCCTACCTGAGCCGATCTGTAGCTCGAGCTCCCCTTGCCTATTGAATGGCATGATGGGTGTCGAACTCAAAGGAAATGGCCCGGGGGAGCCGCCTATGAACCCCACGATTGCCGTCCCTCTGTTCGTTGTCGGTGGACTGATAGCAATTTTATTTGCCTGGAAAACCGTCATTCGCATTCGACATCGCCGACGATCAAAGGCGGCACAGGAAGGAACTGACCAGACGCAGCTATGCCGGACAAATCGCTTCAATGCCGCCCTCAAAAAGAATTTACTATATGCTCCGATATGGGGCAATCGCCATAGCCGCGAATTCCGCATCTTACGGATGCATATGGGGTCTCTACCGCTACGACTGGAAGTGATTTGCCTGTTGATTTACCTCAGCTTGAACATAATTTTCATTGTCGTGACCGTCGATTGGTGGATCAGCGATTACTCGGAGAAGATGTTCCAGCTCAAATACTCCGCGGGCCATCTGGCAGTCATGAATACGCCAGGCTTGGTCATTGGCGCAGGACGGAACAATCCGTTGGTCCAGCTGCTGGGTATCTCGTTCGATGCGTTCAACTTTATGCATCGTTGGGTGGGACGTGTGATCACAGCTAACGCGATCATTCACATGAGCGCCGTGCTGGCCGACCAGGTTTATCTGCGTGAGTAGCCTTAAACATATATGATGCAATCATTCACTAATATCGACCTTTTGAAATTAGATGGCACAGACTATGTTCTATATATCATGTGGCAACAGAGGCTCTTTCTATGCGGCCTTATGGTATGTGATACAGTTCACCAGCGTTTCAGATGGTCATCTAACATATATCTCCACAGGCCATCCTTGGATTTATTTTCATTTTTATTCAATCTCTGTCGCCGGCCCGACATGCATTTTACGAATTATTCCTTCACCTGCATATAGCCCTGGCCGTATTTGCCTTCGTGGCACTTTGGTATCACCTGAAAAACCTGTTGCAACAGCGTGTGCTTCTTGGCACCTTGATCCTGTGGGGTCTTGATCGTGCAGGTCGACTTGCAATACTACTTTGGAGAAATCTTAGCTCAAGACCCACAACTGCCACAGTCGAGGCTCTGTCTGGGTCTGTTGCTCGCGTTGATGTTGCCGTGGCTCGGGCATGGCGCTTCCGTCCTGGTCAGTATATGTACCTCTATATGCCGTGTCTGGGCTTGTGGACATCACATCCGTTCACGGTTGCGTGGTCGTCGACATCGGATTCGTTGAATATGAACGAAAAACGCGCCTCGGGTGACTCTTTGGACGCTCTCACCGGAGGCTCGCCAACTACAACCATGTCCGTCCTGATCAAGGGCCAAGACGGATTCACAAAAAAGTTGCTCCAGAAGGTGGAAGACTCCCCCGAGGGACGCATTCAGGCTATGGCATTGGCAGAGGGGCCATTTGGTATGGATTCCATATCTTAGACATTGGTTGTTGATGGTTTTAAATATGTTTGCTAACATTTCACAGGCGGTATCCATTCTCTCGCCTCATATGGTACTCTACTGTTGATAGCCGGGGGGGATCGGCATTACCCACCCAATGTCATATTTGAACGAGGTTATCACCACGTTCACCGAACAAAAGACAGCTACTCGCAAGGTGCATTTGGTCTGGATCGTCCGCAGTCTAGGTATGACAACCCTGCCTGTTACATGTAATTGACCACTAACATTTTTTTTAAAAAAAAGACCATCTCAGTTGGATTCAAAGTTTCATGGCCGAGATACTAGGCCACGAATCCCTAACCAGCCCAACAAACCCGAACGGCCACTCATACTTCCAATTTCCACGGCTTCTCCTCTCCATCAGCCTGCATATCACATCGCATAAGGACACGGTCGAGGAATACATCCCACAGCCAGATTCGCTGTGGATGCAATGCGCTCCGCCCAACGTACCGGTCAGCATCAACCACGGCAAGCCGTGTATGCAGTCCGTGCTAGAAAAAGAAAAAGAAGATCAGATCGGTGCGATGGCGGTTAGTGTCTGCGGTCCTGGTGGCCTGGGCGATAGTGTGCGGGAGGCTGTTAGAAATGTGCAAGGGGAGAAGACGGTTGATCTCTTCGAAGAGACATTCTCATGGTAGGTGGCTTTGTGTCTCTGGATATGTTTTCTAGAAGCTCTGCGAGTTTTGTCGTTATATTTCTGTGTAAACAATTTTTGAGTTGAGCTCTACATCGATACCCTCTGTGAGGTTTTAAGAATCGGTTTTTGAATCTAGTTAAATGTATATTTTCGATTAGAAGTCTGGCGTATGCATTCTCTACTCTATTTTGGAAGCATCGAAAAAGTTCATCAGGATGATATTTCATTGTTCATGTTCATTACACGCTCCATTTTGGCTAGAGCACGGTCTATCAAGTCTTCGACGAGTTCCTGGCCAGGTGTGCAAGTAGCCTTCGCATCACGAAGACCCTGCAGCCATATATCCCATCTGTCGCGTTCAAAGCCTTTCCAACCACGGGTTGAATACATTTCTCCCGGTCGACCGTCATATTTGTTGTATCTTCGGCAGTTGAGTACATTTTCCCACAGCCTATCGCCGGCACAGATTAGCCAGTAACACACGCCGAGCAGACCAGCCGTAGAAGCCACTCGTTCGGAAAGAATGCCCTCTTCGAACACATGACGAAGTCCACGGAGTCCCATATGAGACTCATCCATAGCATCGCTGATCCACACCTGCAACGGGGAAGTGTACTCAACATCGGCAGCTTGGGTCGCTTTCGCGAGGAAGATATTGAACTTTGCCCATCTGATTTGGTGTTCAGGTTCCATATCCGGGTCGTTGAGGTCTAAGGATTGATTAGCGCTACAGAAGGAAGAAAGAAAAGAAAAGAAAAAGAAAATACAAGAATCCGAGGTTTTTGCTTACATTTCATCTGGTCAGTCCATATTTCACGAGCCCAGAAAGTCAGGGATGGTAGATGTGACCATACTCTGCTTCCATCTTGTGTTTTTAGGACCAAACCAGTCGATGAGTCGACGGCATTGTACAGCTTCAACTCAGCCAGGAATTTAACCAATGGATCATACTGGGTTGTATCGATTTGCATAGCCAACTCAATGATAGCTATGAATGTTATTGCGTCGGCCTTCTCGATAGTTCCTCCTGCGCCGTAGTTTTCCAATCTGTCCATTGTCGTGGCTATAACCCATTGTACAGCATCGTCCACTTCGACTTCTTCATTGACAAGTGCCTCGAATAACTTGAACTCCTTGGACTCTTCGGCCCGCGTGTGCTTAAGCGTTTCATCCCACATGGTGAATTATTGGTAAGGTTTTTGTTCTCTTGAGATGAACTTCCTTTTTTTTATTTTTTTTTTTGTTCAATTTGCTAGTGGGTGGGAAATCCTTGTCTAGCGTGTCTTAGGGCTAGACTAGGCTCGGGGTTGTTACAGATAGAGTTTATTTTTGATTGTGTGTTGGAGTGGAATAAATAAATACAACATACAGACATTGAAGTTAACCAATAATGAATATAAAATATATAAAATATATATATTGTACCAAGACAGTAGTGGATCGAAGGATCAAAGGATCGAAGGATCGTGGGAAGATTAACCCCAAAGGCACAAAGCGGCACATTGACCGTGCGGGGGGAGTTCCTTAAAATTCTAAAACTTGGCATTTGCATTTCCCTTGTATATACTCCGCATATATATCGATCCCAAATATCCAATGGCATATCAATTGAACCATGATCACGTTGAAATTTGACTCTGTGCAACAGCCCACTGGAAAAGTTCTGCGATCGAGTTACTCACCGTAGCCGTCCTAGGAATTTCATGCCCACCACCATGATCATAGGTACGACGTTTCGTTGGTTCACAAATACCAGAAAGATGCACACCAGCCGCCCAGCGAGGATCTTTCGAGCCGTAAATATGTACCGTGGGAATATTGATGTGGTAAGGACTTGTAATCTCACTCCGCAATTCGGCCTCCGAGAGCCCGCTGTCTAGAGTTTTGAGACCAATCCACCGATCCCCACCTTGGGTCAAGAGAGCCGACGAGCGAGCCTGTTGATTCAACGCAGACCGGGAAGCAAGATCACGTCTGCGCGCCTCGGCAGAAACATGGAAGCCCATTTCCTCCAGAACACCCAACGATGCACCCCCGCACACAAAAATAGCCGCTTTGAACGGCGGCGGGAGGTGGGGTGTCTCTTCGTGGTGGAATAGGAGAGCACTAGATCCCAGGGCGCAGCCTTGAGAGAACATGAGCGCGAGATCGTAGGGGCCATTTTTGGCGATATGATCTGTCAGCCAGTTGTAGGTGGCTCGGATGGACTCGACCCCGTCATTTTGCCAAAAAGAGTAGTATGGCGGACTGTAGAAGATATCTACTCCTGGAGCGGCGTCACACTCGAATGGGCCATCGATAAAGTCAAATTGAATGTCGTTGGGAAGTTTGGCGCGGAATGAGGCTGGGGATATATTAGTTATGTCTGTGGAAAGACCGGTGGACTGTGGGGGAAGGGGGCTAACAAGTTTGGGACCTGAAGATAGAGCCACTAGTCCCTCGACCATGGAGGCAAAGCACTTTCATGATGATATATATTCTGGTTGAAGTTGAAATAAGAGAGGGGGGGAATCCTGTCGGAGGGGTTCAAGCTCATGCAGATAAGCACTAACCGACTCAACCCCGCGATATCACGATTCGGAATAACACCTTATTTTGAACAGTTAAAGGACATCAAATTCGTTGGTTTAGACCAGAATTACAAGATATAGGTCTGACTACTATTCTCAAATTGCTTTGAACCCTGGTTTTATTTTCTAGTCTTGGCTGATACCCCCTTGCGCTAGCTAGGCGGAGGACCTCATTTATAGTTACCTGATATGTTAACATGTCAGACATTCTTGCACATTGAAAATGAAATAGAAATCTGTTAAGATAGATTCAAAGTTGCTATGGCTTTTTGTTGGTAGTTCCCCTGCCGGTTTGTTCCGTATACCAAGCCTCATATATATATATATAGTTATATAGTTAGATAGTAATCGTTATGTGATATCATCCTTTTCGGAGCATCTTCCTAGTCTTCCTAGCACTTTATTTCTGAATTATATTTATATACAAATGTTAATTTCGAAATTGGACCATCTGTCTGTCGAGAATTGACCTCTGGGCCACGGTTGGGAGATAGATAGTTGTCTTTCCTACAGATCTGCAATAATCACAGTACTACGTTTCAGGTGAGCGATTGACGCAATAAGGCCAATTGGAATGCATATCAAAAGCCTTGATGACATTCGTGTTCATGTCATCCCTGTGCAACATTGAAATATGGCCAAGAGACCAAATCAGGGCAGAACTATCGATTGGGGCCTACTTTTCAGAGTGAATCGAAAGATGCCTAATGTGGGCTTTCCGTTTTGGCGTGAAGGCTGTGTAGCATATTCATACGTGCCTGTTCCAGGGGCAACGCTGTTAATCAACGATGTCGAAGCGGATGGATTAAGACGGAGTCGGTGCAATATTTGGGACGATCCTAAGTTTGGTCCAAGTGGAGAGATATAAAGTGGATTATTTCACCTCAATTTGTAATCAATCAACTATTTAATCCTCCATCTTCTCCATCTTCTATATTCCAATATTCCAATATTCCAATATTTCAGTTCACTCACTGTCTCCTTTATCCCCCATACTCCATACTACCACCATGAAGGCAGTCATCATCACCCAACCCAAGACCGCGGGCTTGGTCACTGATCGTCCCATTCCCAAGCTTCGCGATGACTACATTCTTGTCAAGACCGTCAGTGTGGGCTTGAACCCCACCGACTGGAAGCACGTTGCCTACATTTCCCCTCCTGGCGTTCTCATCGGATGCGACTATGCAGGCACAGTCGAGGCCGTCGGCAAGGATGTCAAAAAGAATTTCAACAAGGGTGACCGCGTGTGCGGATTCGTGCACGGTTCCAATGCAGTGCAGCCCGAAGATGGCACTTTCGCCGAGTACATTGTCGCCAAGGGTGACGTACAGTGGAAGATACCCGAAAATATGAGCTTCCAGGAGGCCGCCACCCTCGGAGTGGGCATCAACACCGTGGGCCAGGGTCTGTACCAGAGTTTGAAGCTTGCACTGCCCACCGAACCCATTAAGGATGCGACTCCGATTCTGATTTACGGCGGATCCACCGCGACCGGTACCCTGGCCATCCAATTTGCCAAGCTCTCGGGCTACAAGGTCTTGACCACTTGCTCGCCGCGCAACTTCGATTTGGTCCGCAGCCTCGGCGCCGATGATGTCTATGACTACAAGGACGCCCAGGCCGCCGCTAAAATTCGCAATGCCACCGATAACAACCTGAAGCTCGTATTCGATTGCATCTCGCTCGAGTCCAGCGCGGCGTTCTGTGACAATGCTATCTCCACGGATGGGGGCGAGTATAGCGCTCTGTTGGGCGTCAAAATTAACCGTGCCAATGTGAATGACCGCTTCACCCTGGCTTATACCACCATCGGTGAGGCGTTCTCCTTTGGAGATATTCCCTTCCCCGCCAAGCCAGAGGATAGGGCTTTCGCTGAGAAGTTCCTTCCCATTGCCGAGTGTCTGCTCGCCCAAGGAAAGGTTAAGGTTCACCCTCCTAAGGTCGGCGAGCATGGATTGAAGGGTGTGATTGAGGGTCTGAACTTGTTGAAGGAGGACAAGGTCAGCGGCGAGAAGCTGGTCTACAATGTCTCCGAAACCCCGGAGTAAGACACTACTTTCTGTCTACTGGATGATTTAGAGAACGAAAAAGCTACCATTTTCACCTCCACAACCTTGAATTACTGTGCGAGTTTCATCTATTCTATCTTCCAAGATGATATATCTCCCATTAGTTGTCATTGACATTATCAATGTAGAATCAATCTTCAAAACAGGCTTGAAATTTCCACACGTCACCTGCCCCTCCTTTATCATCTCAAACCTGATTATCAATCGAGCCATTCTTCTGCGTTTCGTACTCCCTCGGGTCCTCGCTTTAAATCCCACTTCCAACTAACTGTTGTCTTGTCAGCCCAGACTAGTTCCAAACCAATTGCCATGGGTTATCAATCCGACCTTTGCTCAAACACGCCAGGAACATGAGAAAGCATATCAAAACTGACCACACAACGTTGAATAAACGTAAATCCTTCATAACGGTCTTTACCTTCGAAATTAAGGCGCGGGTACCTCGGCACTGAAGAAGCTCCCCGAGATTTGGACAATGGCCAATCAGATCAAGGCTCTGTCCGCATTAGGCTTAGTCTCCGCAAGAGCAAACACCCCTGGAGAAGCACGAGATACCTTCCTATGTTGTAAGTAACTACATACATGTGGAGAGCATCATCGGATATGTCGTTGATCGACAGTGATTTGAGAGCAACAGGTTGATTGGTAATTCATTGACAAGTTCGCCATGGGAAAGAAAAAAAAAAAAAAAAACCACGCACTCCAGGGCTGCCGGGGCACCTGCAGCACAGACCCGCCTAGTAGTCAACATTTACGTGGACTGTCCAAAATGTTCTCTTTTCAAACGGCCTTGGTCATAAAATTTAGATAAAGAAAATGAATAAACAGCAGCGTGTTGAACACCATAGAGGCAGCACTTTATGGCCGACGTGGTGTTGAACCAGTCAGACAAATGATCCAAAATCACTTCAGTTCCACACTCGCATTCGCACTTAGCGATAGTGGCGTAAGAGTAGCCAATCCTGCCCGAGTCTCAGCATCCTCGAGAGTAAGAGTTGCATTCCTCCCGCTCCCAATGCCCAGTGACCGCTTCACGGCCTTCCAGCTCTCAACGCACAACAGGTAGACACATGTACAACCAAGGACGACTCCCCACTCCCAGGTGATAGCATGATGCTTGAAGACAAGCTGGTTGACAACTGGGAGGTAAATGACCGGGAAGGCAACGACGAAGCCAGCCATGACTGCCCAAAAGAGGAAGCGGTTCTTCCAGAGGGTGGAGAAGACCGATGATGTCTTGGGATTCCGGATGGGATCCATGTTGAATAGGGAACGAGAAAAGTGCTTCACTTCCCATGCGGTAACAAGGAGAAGAAAGGTGAGTGTGGCGTATGTTGTGGCGCGAGCGCGGAACACTGCGTCGCAGCTTGGATTGTATTCTTGATTACATCCATCGCCTAAAGAAGACGTTCCCGAGCCGGCGGCGTAAATCACACAGACAAATGACACGAGGCAAAGTGTGCCCATGAAGGTTCCGTAGATCATTTTATCTACGATCAGCTCACGGGTAAACACGCCTATGCGTAGGTCGTGGGGTGGTCTATACATGATATCTGGCTGGGCCTCTTCAAGTCCAAGACCGACGGCCAAGAATGAAGAGGTAACAAGATTCGCCCATAAGATTTCCAATGGAGATAGAGGGAAAACCGAGTCACCTCCCTCGTCTTTAAAAGCAAGAGCAAATAGCAGGAGGATGACTTGTGCGATATTCGAAATGAGCAGATGCATGAGGAACTAAAGGTGGTGTCAGTAAATCAACCTTGATTGTAATATCAATGGTAAAAGACATTTTTACCTTCTGAATGTTATCAAAAAGCCGTCTACCTTCTTCAACCGCTTTGACAATAGACGAGAAGTTGTCATCTGTCAAAACCATATCGGCAGCCTCCTTTGCAACATCGCTGCCATTTTTGCCCATGGCAATACCAACGTCAGCCCTTTTGAGGGCAGGTGAATCATTAACACCATCCCCCGTCATGACACAAAATGCCTGACGTCGATGCATCGCATCTACCATCCGAACCTTGGTGGCAGGGCTGCAGCGTGCAATGACGAGAGGCAGTTCCTCAATTGCATCAATTTCTGCATCGGTCAACTTGTCGAATTCATCCGCAGCCATCACCAGTCTGCCGGCTTTGACAATTGCCGTGACACGGTCAAGGATACCGACTTCTGACGCAATTGCTGTGGCTGTCTTGATGTGGTCACCAGTGAGCATATGCACTGTGATCCCTGCCATTTGACATCTGCGTACGGCTGCAGCTGATTCGACCCGAGGGGGATCATAGAGTCCTACGAGACCCCCGAATCGTAGACTTGATTCAGCAGAGCTTCGTGGAGATATTTGAGATTCATCGTCGGCTGGGGGTGTCTTGTATGCGATGCATAGCACCCGAAGTCCTTCGCCCGCCATCCGGTCGGCCGTGTCTCGTATGTTTTGCTTTTCTGCTTCATCAATACTGAGATGCGGAATAATGGTCTCCGGGGCGCCCTTGGTATACACCTCTTTGATTCTATCCCGTAAATTGTCATAGACAACGGTCATCTTCTTGATGGCAGAATCAAATGGATACTCTGTATGTAATTGAAGTTGTCTTTTCTTCATCACAGAGTCTTTTCCAAAGTCGAAGCGCAAAGCCAGAACATGAAGAGCAATCTCCGTTGGTTCACCCACAGCACTCCATACTTGATTGTCATGGTGGACGGCTGAAAGGTTGCAGAGAGCAAGCGCTCGTAGGAAGGTATGCAGTGCGGGATTATCTTCGATGGGTTGATTGGAGTTCCAATCAATCTCATCCAGTTGGACCAGACCACTGGTCGGATCAAATGGATCTGTAGTCTGGCTCACAGTCAAAGTCCCAGCACCGGGGATCCATGCAGATCGGGCTACCATCTTTCCCTGGGTTAAGGTGCCTGTCTTGTCAGAACAGATATTCGTGACACCGCCGACTGCCTCAAGACACTGGAGTTTTCGGACAATCACATTTCCTCTGGCCATTGCTTTTGTGCCCACAGCTATTGTGATGGTGAGGACAGCAATCAACGATTCTGGGATGACGGCAACGGCAACACAGATGCCATATATGAGAACCTCGCCCTGAACATCCCATTTATTGACTGAGAAGACAATAATGGCGAGCAGAATTGCTAGTCCGAAAAGCAAGAGTGCAAATTTGCTCAGCTTCACTTGCAACGGCGTACCGACCAAGCCCAACACGTTCATGAAGAATGTCTTCACCTGTTTCCCCGCCTTACCAAGACGACTCGAGTCACCGAGATTGGGCTGTGTTTGTAGTAGTTGTGCAATCTTCCCAACTTCCGTGTTCATCCCTATTGCAACGACTATTCCCATTGCACGACCTTGTGTAGTACTACAGCCAGAATAAGCCATGTTGGTTCGATCACCGATAGGAATATCAGACAACGATAGGGTTACATGAGGGGTTTTGAGGACGGGGAGGGATTCGCCTGTCAGAAGTGCTTCATCCATTGAAGCATTCATGCCATCGAACAAGCGCAGGTCGGCAGGGACAATATCCCCAACTGCTAGCTGGACTATATCACCGACAACCAGTGCCTCGGCCTTGACGGAGGCAATGCGACCCTCTCGGATGGCCTTGCATATTGGGGCGGAGAGACGATGCAGCGAAAGGATTGTCTGTTCGGCGCGGTAGTCTTGAACGAAGCTAGAAGACAAGTCTTAACGCCAGTAGTGTACAGGTCTTGATTCGGAAATACTCACCCCACGACTATATTCAAAACAATCACTGCCGTGATGACACCTCCCTCAATGTAATCATCGATTCCAAAGGATAGGGCCATGGTGATCAGAAGGACCTTGATTTATGTCAGCTATATTTTGTTGGTGGCATTGCTTGGTTTATGTGGTTTGACATACTAGTGTTAGACTGTTAGACACCTGTCTTAGCAGTATCCCCCAGACGGAGACACCCTCCATCTCACGCACGGTATTCGGACCATCGCGCTGGAGGCGGGAGGCCGCTTCGGTGCCATAGAGTCCATTTCTAACGCGTGTGTTAATAAAAAATGTCTGGTCATGCTGAAGTACATCAGATATTAACGCACTGGAGATCGGTGTGGAGGAGAGAGGCGAGCTCGAATGGTTCTATAAGATGGGCGTTCTGGCCGGGCCCTTCTTTCCTTGCTTGGGGCTCGAAGAACGTAGTACTATCAGTATGTGAGATGGACTTTTTATCGGTATCGCAGGGCTTAGTATGTAGGCGGTTTGTCACATTGGGTTGGTTGGTTTCCGTAAAAGGACATATAGGAGGCTCTGTCGATTCCTCGACATCGGGGGTTGTCTCTACGCCCATTCAATAAGAATTTTGGTAAAGAAAGCGGTGGAAATAAGCTAGATGGTATTGAAATCCCCTGATGAATGCCCGTCAACCTTGAGAGTAGGGGAAAAGTATATTCGCACTAGAGGAGAGAGGGGGGAGGTGGAAGTAGCAAGATGGGGAATGATCTAGAAACGGAATTTGTATCAAGAAGTAGCCCTTTGCATCAAACGTTCACATGTTCCCTTGCTTTCGACCGGAAGAGGGGGTTCTCCAGGCTGTGAGGGGCAGCTTTGATCACATCGTGAAGCCACAATGTCATTGGGTCGACCCATTGTCGGAAAATCTTGGCTCCTCTGGACTCTGGTGGGAGTTTTCAAAGATATTGGTGTGTAGTCCAGTTAAATCATGGGACCAAAGATCCTTACATTGGGATTGGTGGCATTCCAGTCCGGGGTTGAAACCCCAATACACTTGGCTTCTAGGCAGTCGTGGCGTTCTATTCCTGGATTAAAGCTGACGGCTTATCGGAATTCCAGCGATACCCTCTTGTACTTTGGCTGTTGGAAGCTCAATCCAGGTAAGAGGTAACGACCTCCGAGTACCAGATACCAGAAATGCCCTATTTGTTTAAAATTGGTGGTTCCGCAAAGGTCCACGACTGCAAGGTCCTGTATGGACACAGTCGCCTTGCCAATCTTTTGATTAGTTGAATAGGCTGCATTCCAAGAACTCGGCATCTTGGGGGCTGACACGTCCACTGCGACCCTATGGGAAATGGTAGCGAATCGGAGATGACAATCTAAGCCGGCCATGGTCAGAGAGCGGTCAGAGTGTATGTGCCAGTCCTTACCTACTAGTTATGCACAAAGTACATAACTACAACATAGGGTAATATGTTGTAGGTAAATAACTACCTAGTTAGGTAGTTAACTAGTTAACTAGTTAGTAACTAACAACATTCCATGTAGGATTTGTAGGTTGTAGTTGATACCACAGAAGTATAAGATGGACTGGTGACAAACAAAGTACCAAGTACAAGCCCACCTCAGGCGGCCAATCAAGGAGCGGCCCGCACATGAAAAATCGCTGCGACAACTTTGGAACTCGACTTTTTTGCTCTTCGATCAACACAACTTTAGAAGCTTCCCAATCTGCTTTCTTTTCTATTGTCAATATGGTCGGCCCTATAACATCCCTCTCACAATTAAATCGTGCCGACGGATCGGCTTCATACAAATGCCCAGCTACCGGTTACAGCATTCTGGGTGCAGTCAACGCGCCCATTGAGCTCCCAGCACGCCGTGACGCATTGAAACCCGAAGAAGCTACTGTGGAGGTCTTTGTCAAACCTGGTACGACAACTGCCGGTGTTGGTGAAAGATACGTCGAAGGAATCCTGCGGTCTGTGCTAGGGAAAATTGTCCTCGGGCGGGAGAAAGGCTTCCCCCGTCGCGGCGTGGTCCTCACCCTGGCTATTGTTGGAGGAGAGAACGTGGCACGCGGTGACTCTGTGAGTATTTCAAAGCGTTGCTTCGCTCTACATTGTGTCGAACTGTCAGACTGATCTATCTAGTACCTTACTATCATCCCGGCTCTCCTACATGCTGCCTTGCTCGCTATGATATCTGCCTCCGTGCCTCTGTCTATGACCTTCTCCGCAACCCTCCTCAGTGTAACCAAGTCTGGTGATATTGTGCGGGACCCCTCCCCGACTGTCGCCAAGGCTGCTGTGTCCCTCCATGTTTTCGCCGTCTCCTCGAAGAATCACCTTTTGCTCAACGAAAGCGAGGGTCGGTTTGAATTTGATACCTGGGAACTTGTCCGTCAGCGCGCGCTCTCCATTTGTCAGGGCGTGATAACCGCCAGCGATGATGGTGATGTTACTATGGACGAAGGAACAGCCAGCGCCGGTTTGAACAGTTTCATCCGGGAGACCGTGGAGGACCAGGTCTACAGCGACTACGCCTACAAGCTGGACTCTATCTGAGATTGGCTGCGCCCACGGCAAATTTGCGGAGAGTTAGTGAGACGCGATAAAATAGGACAGGTCGATCGGTCAGCCCCTGGTCCCCTTCTCTAGTGCACATGACTTCCCTGAAGCACTCGCTATACCTCCTCCCCCTCGACTAGAGATACGACGGGGCCACAAAATAATTGATCGAGTACGACACCCGGTTAAGGCACCGTCACCTGACTGTCACTGCATGTACAACACGCTTCATTCAGCTGCCACAAGCGACAGCCTTGCTGCATATGAGGCTTGTTTTCGGGTTCCCCCCAACTGTTGAATTCTGGACGGACCCCGTCGCCCAATCTTGCCAAGTGATTTAGCAGTGAACGATTGGAATTACCGACTCCTAACAGGCGCAGCCAGAATGATGGGTCCCCCAGTTCGAGTCATGATTGGAAGGAACACATGGTTTAACCGACATTCTGGCAAAGACAGCAAGTAGGATGTGAGAATAGAATACCCAAAAACAAATACCAACCATCCATGGTTTACCTCTAAGCTCTTGAATCATTCTGTATCTTTGGATATCACAGTGTAAACGTCATTTTATCTGAGCGCACTACGCGAGTGTACGCATTTGGCGATTACTACTCCGTATATATATTGTAGGCTAATCAAACTCACCAATGATAGAATTTTCTGGGGAAATCTCGCCAATGTCAGAAACCAAATAAACCAGTAATCCAGTAATCCAGTAAATCAATCTAAATCATCTCCTAAATATCCTAATTTAGTGTGATTGTCGAGGTCAGTGGTTATCCTAAAAGGGATTGATTCCCTTGATTTTTCCGGTGTATCCCTGCCCTTTGGTCAATCTTTACCTTACCAGATCAACTTCCTCTCAAGTTTATTCGCATCCTTGTCCGATATATCAAAAAAAAAAAAAAAAAAAAGCAAAAGCAAATCCGGTGGAAGATACTAGAATCAATATCAACTGGCACGACTTGACACAGCTGCGATCTCAAGACTTCGGATCCGCAAACCCCGTTACATCCGAGCTGTTTTTCCTTGATTATTCTCTCCCCCCCATCTTATTTACCCGTCTAAGCCGATGGCGTCCAGTTGTGATAATCTACAGTCTGACACCCTCTCGAGTGTTTCCACACAAACCCCATCTCATCCATCTCATCCCTCTCTCCCCTCTCTATCCCCGACCAAGGCCCCACTCCCAACGACGGTGCTCCTCCGCGATGCTCTCATAGCAACCCAGGATCGCCCACATCTCCCTCAAGGAACCAACAGCGTACTTTGTACACAAATATCCGAATCGACTCAAGAGGAGGACGCAGGCTTGTCGCTGCCTTCTTCGACATTACGGTCGTTTCGCCGGAAGTCGATCAATCGGCGATCGAAGAAAGCGCTGTCGACCGACTGTATACCGCGACAGACAATTTTGAAAGCCCTGGCCTCCCGAGCTTCGATCCTCGGCAATACCACCAACATGTCGACGAGTTCCTTGTCGAGTATGCTCGCGAATAAATCCACCCAGGCTTCCCCGCCTTCTGACAGCCGACAACGGCGGGGGAGCAACGATTCCTCCCACAACCTCTCTGCCGCACTATCAAATCTTCAATTGAACGGATATCTCGATCGATCACCTACCACGGCACGTCTAATACTGCAATCGCCATGTTATTTCCATCAGCGCTTCGATGACGCTGTCAACATAAAAAAGGGTGTTGGAGGAAATTGCCGACGACGAGTGGCTGTCCCATTCGCGACTAGTTCAGACGGCAACTGGAGTCCGTGAAGTGTCGAAGCAACTACAGCGCCGACCTATCAAACGCGCAGTGCGAAATGTCATGATTGTCACTAAGGCGCGTGATAACAGCTTGGTACACTTGACTCGGGAAGTTGCCGAGTGGCTGCTTTCGACCTCAAGATATGGAAGTGAATTAGGAGTCAATGTCTACGTAGATGCGAAACTGCGAAATTCGAAGCGATTTGATGCTCCGGGCCTGTTGCAGAAAGACCCGATGTTTGCCCAGATGTTACATTTTTGGACACCGGATCTTTGTTGGACATCGCCAGATAAATTCGATTTGGTGCTGACGCTTGGTGGTGATGGTACCGTTCTCTTCACATCTTGGCTCTTTCAGCGCGTGGTTCCGCCCGTGCTCTGCTTTTCGCTTGGCAGCCTGGGCTTCCTGACAAATTTCGAGTTTTCCGACTACAAATCACAGCTTAATGCCGTTATGGGCGAGGTGGGCATGCGCGTCAATTTACGCATGCGATTCACATGTACCGTATATCGGAAAGACCGGAGCAAGGGAGCAGAGGTGGGCGCTGTCGAGGAGGGCGAGCAATTCGAAGTATTGAATGAGCTCGTCATCGACCGCGGCCCATCCCCCCTATGTGTCGAACCTAGAGCTCTACGCCGACGACGAACTGCTCACAGTCGTCCAAGCAGACGGCTGTATCTTTTCCACGCCGACAGGTTCCACGGCGTACTCTCTATCCGCTGGCGGTTCTCTTATGCATCCATCCATCCCTGGCATCCTCCTCACTCCAATATGCCCGCACACCCTCTCTTTCCGCCCAATGGTCCTCTCAGACTCCCACCTTCTCCGTATTGCAGTTCCCAAATCCTCCCGGTCCACCGCTTACTGCTCCTTTGACGGTAAGGGCCGCGTCGAACTCCGCCAGGGCGACTACGTCACTGTCGAAGCTAGCCAGTACCCATTCCCAACAGTTGTTTCCAACAACAACGAATGGTTCACTAGCGTCCAGCGTGCTCTACGGTGGAACACCCGCGGCGCGGTCCAGAAGAGCTGGGATGGTGGCGATGCCGACGCGGATTTGAACAGTGATCCCAATGAGGACGAACAGTGGGACATCGATATGGACACCATGCTTGGTGGTACAGATAGCGGCATCGGTCCCAGTGAAGATGGGGATGCTCTATCGCCCAATCCCATGCGTCGACAAATGAGCTTGCTCAATATGTGATGTTCTTGTGCATGTTAGCGATTTTCGTTTTCCTTTTCTGCTCTATACCTTTTTTAACGTCTGGGTCTCGGTGTTTTCTTTTTTTGTTTTCGTTTATCAACCCCAGCGTGATGAGGTTCGCTCGGTGTTTGATTTTGCATTGTAACTATGTTGTTTCCGACATATCTCGGACACGGAAGTATCCGCATCACCGTTTGTCTTGGAGATCATGTTGATAGATCATGATATATTGCCTCTACGGCTTGAATAGAAAGCCTTCGGCGGGTCGACTATGATTTCCGTCTCGCGACTTGCTGTTGTCCCGTTTAGACTTATGTGCCGTGATTTGATTTAGAATTACGATAGAAACTATCCGTCGACAATACTTCTCAGGAAAACTTGCCCCCTGTCTACCGTCAAAGGAAGCAGTCAGATTTATAGAGTACACAACGCCTTTACATTGCGGGTCGTTTGATATATCCTCTACTATGAAGTAGGTTCTACTGAGAAGGTCCAATCTGGAAAGAACTCCTAAAATTATCTACTATTCCGAGCCTATAACACCAAAGGAAGAGATATTTTATAAAGTCAACACCAAAGAGTACTCAAGAACGGCAGTGTTTCGGTCCTGAACGGTGTACGACAAAGATGTCAGATTATCCCGTATCCTGTAACTTGAAACTTGCACCGGACCACGTACCAATGTAGCTTTTGAAAGCATCTTCAAGGTGCTGTATACTAGCTTCTGACAAGAAAAAAAGAAGTCCTTGAAATTGTCGAGAAAAGCCTCCATTAGACTTTCAGCAATGACCAACTTGCCATATTCCAGATCGTCAAAAATTGGCAACGTGAAGCCCTCTTTCATAGTTAAGACAGAGAGCTCTCGTGGCCCGACGGAGCTGAGTCCACTTACTCCACATTCAATAAAGTTGTCGTATCCACCATATCAACCGATATCTCTGTTTTTTTTTTGTTTTTTTTGTTTTTTTTTGTACTTATAACATTTCACAGTGTATTCAGTACATATATCTGGGTATAGCACTAACACACCTGCTCAGTGGCTGCGATAAACAAGGCCGTGATCAACAATACAGGAAGAACTACGACACAGGAAGGAACCTTCCAGAGCCTAGCACAGATCTACAAGAAAAGGTGACGGCAAGAACTCGGTCTCCCCGGCGATCTTCGACTATTTCTTTGGTTATCCCCGTTCAAGGAGAACGGGTGGGCGCATGGAAGCTCACCAGGTATTCGCTTGTCGATATTGCATGGTTCATAAACGATCTGTGCAAGACGAATGTCGGCATACCACTTTGCTATGATCCTTGATTTCCGGTAGCCTTCCAATGGAAAAGCGTAGAATTGCGTAAGAGCTATATAGCAAAAGCTCTGCGTGGGAAGAAACCCTACTAGGCTTTGCGCAATAGCTAAACAGCAACCACTCAGATGCATGATAATCAACATGATAATCAACCGAACAATTTCATTTTAACCCCGTGTCTTTCGTAAGCATTATAAAAGGTAATATAAAAAAAAGAATTATGTTCGCCTTTACCAGTCGCAGTTCTCAGCCAGGAAGATGGCTAATTTCTCAAGGTACTTTTTATCCTCCTCATCAAATCCAGAAGGCTCGGTGCAGTCGATGTCAATGATAGCGACAGTCTATTAATGAAGATGTGAGTATGTTCCTCTCAAAACTAAATTGCATCTCCAGAAAATGCGCCATGGTCGGTAGGGAATGAGTACTCACCTCTCCATTAACCAAGATAGGCACAACAATCTCACTACGACTCTCCGCATCGCATGCAATATGTCCAGGGAAGGTCAGAACATCAGGAACAATAACAGTCTCCTGCTTGGCGGCAGCAGTGCCGCAAACGCCCTTGCCGAAACGAATCTCCTGACACGCGGGCTTTCCGTGGAAGGGCCCGAGGAGAAGAATCTGGTTTTCCGAGGAAGAGTATGTCGTTGAGATAATCACGCCGCCGGAACTGGGTGCGCCAGGCAATGGCTGCGAGGTGACCGGGGATGCAAGAGCTGGGAATTTGTCATCGCGAATGTAGAACCCGGCCCAGTTGACGGAGGAGGAAGGGGCGGGGAGGCAGGCATAGGCGTGCCAAAGCAGGGAAGCGACGTTGGAGAGGTTGCTGGTGGGTCGTAAGCGATCATGCTTTTTCAAGGGTTCGCGCGGTTGTTTGAAGCGCGTATATTTATTGTGTATTTTGTGATTGTGAATGTCGTGAACTCACCTAACCCAATTCCGTTGGCCGTCCAGAAGACCTTGTGTTGACAGTAGGAGTTGTTCGTATATATCGGCCTTGGAGCTACCTGGCATGAAATAGGAGGAGTCGGCGTGAGGCTGTTAGACGCGATTGTGTTAGCGCTGTTGTTTCGGTCTGCAGGGATCTGCGCGATGTCCTTTTGCAGTGGATCAGGAAATTCGCAAAGACCACACGGGGACGAGCATACCATGACGATTCAATGAATTGAGGATGTGTGCGCAGAGATGCGAAATGACAAAAAAATTAGATGAGGAATTGATCGCGCTAAGTGGCTTCTGGGTATTTTTCTTAAAAAAAGAAAAAGGGCAGAATCGGAGAAGCGGGGCGTTTAGACGTTCAACCAAAAAAAAAAAAAAAAAAAAAAAAAAAAAAGAAAAAGAGGTTCCTACTTTCTTTGACCTTGGAATCTCTTCCAAGGTTAATTTTCTCGCCTCCTGATCTTTTGTTCCTTATATCCCCCGATAAAGCCCGATTCTATCGAGATGCACTCAACTCAGATACAAGTTCATGTCGAATTGTGGATGGCACATACTGGTGGAACTACCATCCACTCACCTGTGGGGTTAATTAATGTATATGTTGGATGTGCAAGCTCATCTCTCATCAGATCTCGACATGTGTCAATCCCGAAACCCATTCATTCGACTGCTTTGGTTGACTCCACCTTGGAGTCCAGAGTCTAGAATACGGGATGATGTCGGAGTTATCAAAGTACTCCCGACTGGCTGAACTTTCTTGTCTCTCCTTGAGCTAAACATTCTATGCACTTGATGTTTCTCGATCAAGGTGTTGATAATATGATTGACCTCTACCCGGAGTAGAGATCGTGCTCGAGAGATTGATGGTTTCTTGTACTGGAAACCATGGACGCTGCGACCTTGATAATGGCCAGATTCCAGTTCTCTGGTACCTTTGATCCAGTCATCGGAATAGCTGGAAGTCCCGAACGGCTCTCGGATGTGAACCTCATCGGGAGTAATACGAACAACAGGGCCTGGAAATAGTCAGATTCAATAACTTTTTTTCTTTTTTACATAAATATCAGATGGCATACCAAACTTCCGGTGCATATTGTCAATCTCATACTCAAAAATTCCAGGACCCCAGGCAGAAAAGTAAATCTCATATAACCCTGTTGCGGCAGCAAGGCGAGGCCCTGGGAACCTGCTGAGCTTGTGAAAATAAAGACGATAAATAATCATGACTATGTTATAGGCCACAGCACTGCCTAATAAGAAAAAGACAAACATGATCACTGTTACGATCAAAGTTCGCTATAGTGAGGTTGAAAAAAAAAAGGAAGTAGAACACACTCCCCACTCTCCATATTAGAAATAAAGTCTAGCCCCAGGACTGTTCTCTTCATATAACTTTCGACAATGGAATCTCTAGGGGCTAAAATATGAAATCCATTCCCCCCCACTACCTTTCCCCAGCCCACGACAAGACCCAATTGGCTAAGTCCATACCGCATGTTATACCGCATAAACTTTTCCCACTAGGTCGAACATCTGCCCACGGGCTCGTTAGTAGGTCACTTAGAATTTCTTTGCCCTAAGATTCCCGAACTGAATGGCCTGATCTTCGAAACAAAGTTTGCGATGTTTCCGCCCGCGACTAAAAAGAGCCACGACCCCGTTGACATCACCAATAGCCAATATTGGGTTGATGGCTAACTCTCATACCATACCGCCCTTCTCGACAAACCTCAGCATGTACGATGTACACCGGTCCGGTAGTGGGATCTAGTGCCGATCTAGTGTGGCTTGCGAGTTCGGGTTTGGTGCTGATTTGATGACGGAAGTGGGGGCTGATCGTAGACCGCCAGTTGGCTTTGCGCGTCCCCGCCACTGGGCGATCTTTCGATTTCTCAATTTGTTTTTCTCGAAGGATATCTGTAGTGCTGTAGTGCGGAATGGCGGTGGGCGTCATTGTGCATCAATTCTAGTTTGCACTCGGTTCTAGTCGTCTTTGATTCGGGCATCCTGTGTCATTTAAAAGTCAAGGTTTGAAGTGTGCGATGTTCCTCGTACTTGCGAGGTCTATGCAGATGCAAATGACCTGATAAGGTTTGGAATGAAATCATTGGTGGCAACTTTGGAATTAACCAATTCGATAAGGTTCGTGGGGTCAAGTCGGGAGTTTCCACGATTGGCATGTGGTACAGGATGAGCTCGAGAACTGTAACTAATAGAAATAGGAAAGTAGGAGCATTCTATCACTATCTACCTACATATGTACTTTGTAGGTGATTAGACGAAAAAAGACCCTGGTGCATGACTTGAGTATTCTGATATTCTTGTGTACGACAGCAACGATGTCACGCGCGCCCATATTCGCTCAGAGTCAACATCCGTAGTCGCTCAAGGTAGTAATCAATCAAGAATAGGCCTTATGGCAGACTGCCAGATTCCACTAACTTGTAATACCGGCAAAGGACTTCCAATATGCTGCCATTGACGTTTCTGAACGTCGTTCCTCCAAATAGCACCATAACACCCTATTTATCTCTGAACGGTAGCTGTGACCCCGGTGATCACCAACAGTATTTCCCGGTTTCATATCACTTGCATATCACATCTTGTGTTTCCCGGCAATTTAACGCGAGCCGAGCTACCACAAAGAGTAATTAGATATCTCACCTCACAGCCTATAGAGGCTGGTAGCTCCACCATCGAGAGGCATCCACGGGCTGTAAAATGACGCAACATAAGTTGATGGTGTGGGAGTTGGTTATGCTCAAAAGCTCTATTCTGAATTAATCCAGCCAAGATTGTATATTACAATGTAGGTACGGAATATGCCCTAAACAGGAAACAAGGGCTTAGGGCTCTCGGATAGACACGCTTCCGGGTATTATTCTCACGTGACTATAAAGTACCGTGCATCAAGTCAATATTCAGTGACCCTTCCGCTACCGCCTTCTCAATTTGATATACCGCCCTTTATTCATTAGCTTTTATTGGTGGATACTTAACCGGCAGAATCTGTGTGTTAAAAGTACAACACACCTGTCAGTTACCCGGATGTGTATTACACGCCACTTTATAGGTCGACTCATCCCCAGGCGACAAGAAGCTTAAATCAATCGAACTCGATTTTTCAACGTGTGATCTCTTGATTAAAGTTGGTCCTCCTCAATTTTGTACATTTCCAATTCTAAAATAAACACGCATCCCACTCCTGTCTACTCCGTAGACACATATGGAGATCCGTATCCGCATCCGTTGGTGCAAACATTACCACTCGGCAATGCCAGCTGCCATGGGTGGTCCGATGTCTCTGAGGCCGCCCGTACCCCAGAAAATGGGGCCCCCTGAACCGACTCTATCAAGCACAAAGTGGATTCCGCCGTTTCCAAAGTGAGCGGAAAACGGGTAGAAGGCCTTCCGTCGCCAAAATGGAGGAATATTTAAACGAGGTCCAGTCTTGATTCCAATTGACGCTGCCGATAATTCACTCAACCCATTATTCCTATCTATTCATACTCACCACTCAAATGCCTGAACAAATCCTTGCGGGAAAAACATGTCTCGTCACCGGCGGTGGCGGCGGCCTAGGCAAAGCAATTGCAACCCAATTCCTGGAAGCTGGCGCCAGTGTCGTAATTTGCGACGTGAACGAGGAACGTCTACAGAAGACCTCGGCTGAACTGTCATCCAAGGGGCCCCTGAAGGCCATTAAGACCGATATCACCAAGACCAACGAAGTGGAGAACCTTTTGAAACGCTGATTGGCGAATTCGGCAAAATTGATGTCCTGGTCAACAACGCCGGCATCATGGACCACTTCGACCCAATCGGCGATCTGGACATGGAGTTTTGGGATCGCGTCATGGCGATTAATCTCACTGCTCCGGCTCTACTGAGCAAATTGGCAGTTCGTAACATGCTGGCGCAGCCGAAGCCAGATGGACGTATTATTAATATTGTTTCTGTTGCTGGAAAGGCTGGATGGGCTGGTGGTATGTTCTAACCAAAGTGAGGGGTGCTACTAGATCTGACATTTAACTAATTCTTCCAGGTGCTGCCTATACTACCAGCAAGCACGGTCTTGTCGGATTGACCAAGAACATTGCTGCGTACTATGGCAACAAGGGCATCAAGTGCAACGCTTTGATGATGGGTGGCATGGAAACCAACATTGTTGATGCTTTCAGCGCCGGGATGCATACGGAGGGTTATGAGAAGATGATAAATGTCTACGATTCTATTCAAGCTCCCTACGTCGATGTGAATGAAGCTGCTGGGTTCTGTGTGAACATGACATATGGAAAGGGCGCCGGTCAGATCAACGGCGCGACTATCGCTATTGATAATGGCTGGAGTTCTGTCGTTGGGTAGACTGCAAGTTGTGGCTGTGTTTTTCTGCAAAATGTTAAATTTTTAGATTTCTTTTCTATGACATACACATGTTTCTTGTAACTACTTGGGAATAAGCGAACGAATCAATTTGGATACATATCATGTCTCTTTCAAAACACAAGACCTAAGTCACCAAGGGATTTGGCTGAGGGGGTCCTTGATCCCACTTCTCCATTCCTTCCGGAATATCAATAATCGCCTCCCGGCACCAAATATGAACTGCAGTTCGCAGCATTTCTTTGTTCAGATCCTCCAAGCAGCCACCTTTCACATTGGTAATTGCAGAAAATTCGACCTGTTCGCTAGGTGCAGGTACAGTATCCCGGAAGCGATGGAAAAGCCGTGCACCACACTCCTTGTAGAAAAGGCACTCCATATCGCGTCCCTTAAGGGTAAGACGAGTGTAGCTGATGACCAGACTGGAGACTGACTCAGGGAGCTCGAAGTACGGAAATGTTGCGGTGATGCCGAACGCGGACGAGCTTTGGTGCTGGCATTCTGTGCAGTGGCAGATCCAGAGTTTCAGAGGTTTCTCTGCCGGTGTTGTGAATTGAATCTTGCCACATTGGCAGCGAGCTTTCATCCCCATGGTGGGTTGCGAAAGAATGCAATTATTCCATGGTGAGGGGTAGATGATTCACAGGGTGGACCTATACGAGCTTAGGAGATGATATTTACAAAAAGGCCTGAGTTGGATAAATCTTTAAGTTGACATATTCCATTGGGCTGAAACGTTATGGCGGCTGTCAAAATTCGAAAATATCTCACATATTACACAAGTAGTTGAGCTTTTTTCTCAAATTTCATTGTTCAAAGGACTATTCTGAGAATTCGCTATTGCATTGTACTTGTGTAGAAAATAACCTCGATCCCAGGTAACCGAACTCCGAACTCAATTGCGTAATTCTCGAAGACCGCTGTCATCATCCTCGTATCTCATACAGACCTCGGGATATCTCTCGTTGGCAGGAAACTCCATCAAAGTTTACCCTCCATGACCATCTGAATAACAGCAATGGCCCCAGGAGCCTCTTGCCATGCTTCATAGGTCAAATTCAAGGTCATCCGCATCTGTTCCACACTCCCAATCCGAAACATCGTGGGTTTGACCGCCAAGTGTTCACCTGGGTCCATAAGAGCCGGCCAGAAGTGGGGGTTCAATTTCTTGACGCTTTCGTACAAAGCGCGAATCTGGGCCTTTAGTTTCGCACCTTCGAGCGGTGCGTCCTGACAGTTGGCGATATTGGTGTTTTTGGCGATAGTCGAAGGTTTCGGTCTGAGTCCCAGCATGTGGGTAATACTCTCATCAGCAGATCTCATGCCGGTGAGGATCGCTTGAAGCACTTTGATCTTGACTAGAGTCAAAGAAACGATATGGGGAAGATTCGAATTGCCACGGAACATATCGACTGGCTCAAGCGGGTTGGCGTTCTTGACGTCAAGGTAGGGCAGGTTGGTATTACCCCAATCATAGCGGTGGTTCCGGCCAGTCGTAGCCCACCACTTCAGAAAATCGTAGCACTCCTGGTCCTGCTGGAGACGAATCATCAAGCCGGGGATGACGTCTCGTGAGCCCATGTTATCACCTCGACAGAGCCGCAGATTTTCCATCAATAGGCCGAGTTGTGCTTCAAGCGATTCGACATTCCCAATACTGCTCATGATATTACACAGGGCAGCACGGGCCTGCATGTAAGGGCGTGTCTCGAGGATCTTCCAGAAGTTACCGACGCCATAGGAGTAGGGATCATCTGGAAGAGCCCGTAAGGCCTGTTCTTGCTTCTCCATAGCAACACGGCATCTTCTGATGGCGCTGCAAGCAGACTTATGCTCTCCGCGGTGAGCAGTCTGGTGTTCGACGCCACAGTACATCATCACCTTACAGCCAGAGCAGCGGAGAACTCCATCTTCCTTGCCACACACACCACAGCCAGACGGGGGTGTCATTTTCTTATCGGGAAAACGTAGGAGGTGTGGCAGATGGGGCAGTGTTGATGTTCTTGGTGGAGAATAGGTTCACGGTGCAAGGAAAGTTTAATTGCCTTGTCTTGCTTTGCAGAAGCCGGTGAAGGTTCCGCAAGATCTGCGAAGAAAGACCACAGGGGGAGGGAAGAGTAAGAACCGTGGGGAGGTGGAGAAGGTGACGGTACGGTATTTATTATGGACTTCCCAGGATAAGAATTGAGTATGCCTTGTTTGCCTTCAAATCCGGGCCACCGGATACAAACAAAAGCCGTGATAGCATGCCCTTCTCGATCGTTCCGGTTAAGACATGAGGCGTCATTTTAATCATTCTTTCTCCACAAGCACTTATTTCCACAGCAGGTAATATGAAGCGTTGAAGCTTGGTATACGGAATCCGTTTCGAGACCTGAATTTCTTATATCACATCGGAAAAATAAGAAGAGTGGACAGGTTATATACACATTAGCTATTGCGGGCCGATGATAGGCCTAATCCCCCGGACCACGTGAGGTACATGTGATCTTAAGCATTGAGTTCCCTCGGAATAACTGTTCATCCCCCTCAGTCCCCACTTCTACCTCTGCTCGCCTTCGCAAAAAGTACTGGATCAGACGACTCCTTGCCCTTTCTGCTACTCAATCAATCCATCACATGAATCACCGTATACCATCATGAAGTTTTTCGAGAACAATTTCACCTACGATTACTCCTTCCCCGCTGTCTCCCTCGCCTATTTCCTCCGCTATCCTAATCCGTATTCTCGCCATGTCCTTACAACAGATGTCATCGACAGATACGTCGACCCCAAGACCCAGCGTCTTCACACAATCCGACTACACCTAAAAAAATCCAAGGTCCCATCTGGAATCCTAAAGCTTCTACCAAAAGGCATGGGAGGTTCAGACAGTTCCGGTCAGAGCTATATTCTGGAGAAGACCATTGTTGATGCCAAGGAGGGGTGGATGGAGACCGAGTCCCGCAACATGGAATGGACGGGCATCCTTAGCGTCGTTGAGAAGCAATGCTACAAGCGGCTTCCATCCGAGGAGGATCGCCTGGCTCTCGATGGTCTCGCCGTGGACAAAAGTTCCGAACAGACCAATGTCAAGACTACGGTCACCTTCCGCTCCCGACTCGGACAGGGCAAGCTCCTTGGGAAGAAGAAGCAGGGCACTGGCGATAATGAAGACGAAGAGCCTCGCAAAGGGTTCTTCTCGTCCCTTTCCACTGCCGGCATCCAACGGACCATTGAGCTTATCGGTGTGAGCCGAACCAAAGAAGCCGTATTGAAAAGCAAAGAGGGCATGAACATTGTCCTTGAGCGTCTACGCAGTGGTGGTGTTGTTGGTGTCCTAGAAGGTATGCGCCAAGACCGAGAGGCAGCTTTCGGTCCCGATGGTACGTGGAAGCGTGTCTGGCTGCAGGGCAAGGACCGTTCCGTTGAAAACGACAAGTCGTGATGGACATCCATTTCTGGTTTGGATTGTCTTGTTTTTGCTTGGGTGATCTACCCGTCCTTGCATTTTTATTTCAAGCGCGGAGTTCTGGCGTGGGGATATGATCGAAACTCTCCCACAAATCTTTTTGATTGTTGATATTTGAAACTGTATATGTTTATATGTTGTTATGAGGCAAAGCCTCTGGGATGTACATCAAAGGGGACATTTTAACGCTCATTGGAAGGCTAATTGTACAATATGGATCAATTTTCTATCCTTGTCTTCTGTGTGCTTTTTTTTTTTTTTTTTTCTGAGGGGTTTTTCATTCCCGCCGATATCTGTCTGTCTGGTCTGTATTTCATGGAGGTAGAGGAAACAGGGCGGCTGCAGATGCAACCACTGGTCGTCGGGTCTCAAGTCTGGAGGTTTCCGACGCATCAACGATATCACCTTTGGCTGGATGTGTCTTGTTCCTGATATCGGCCGAGGCGGGAACGAGCGTTGAGGTCTGTCTATGTCTACTGGCGCGACTAGTCTCCCCACTAGTCTTCCCACTCCTTACAGTTAGATCATTACTAAGTTTTCAACTCCCGTTCGTTTACCGTCAATTCGTTTTTAGCATGGAGATCAGCAAGCTGACAGACAAGATGGAGACCATCACCAATAAGCAGACCATTGCGGACATCGTCACCAACGGCGGCTAGAAATGAATGCCTGGCCCCCAATCACGACCAAGAGAGCTTCGCAGGTAGCTCCCGTCGGGCTCGAGCAGTTACAAGCATGCAAGTCCCAGCTATTGCAGGGGCAATAGGTGTGGCATGTTCTACGTCAACAATGTGGCGTTGCCGGCGGTAGCGCCTTAGTTTCGGATGACATTCATGGCATTGGTGCACCATTCGTATGTGAATCGGCTGTCATCGGCAAAAGGGCACTGTCAAAGTACTCGGTATGTTGTACGGAGTATGGAGTACTTGGTTCTCAGATCCACCCGAAAATTAATGACCCACTTGACAACTTGAACGAGGCGCAAAACCCCGAAGTTGAGATACCCTGCAGCCGATGAACTCCGTTGCCGAGGACAACCTTTACGCGTGAGAGGGACAGATTACACAGATACTTTTGGCCAATGAGCGCAGGCTGTGCTGCGAAACCGTGTGGATGAATGACATTTTGAGCTCGTAGCGTTCTAAAATCCTCAGCCCAATATTGGATTGCGGTTGTTTTAGGTTAGTGTTGTTGGAAACCAGACATTATATTTCGTTCTTATTTTTAATTACGTGATTTCAATCTCAAACCACCCTCTTGTCTTTCTTTTCGTGTATTCATTGAATTTTCGGATATTCTTTGAATTGAATTGAAGATGACCGAGAAGATTATCGGGAACCTCTGAAGGACGGCCTTGGAAGGTTCAGCCCGATGACTACCTACATATATAGATATATCTAGGTATATATATAATATATGTATGCATACCGAAGATTTAGGTAGGTAAGCCGACATTCCATTTTCTTATAGGATTAATTTGTATTTTTCCTTAGTATGTTGTATTTTATTCTCAAACCTCTTCAGAGTACTTTGTACGGAAGATTGAGAATAATACATAGTCTCGGAGGATTGCCGGACTAAGTGGATTCCGGCGGTCTTTGCGATACACATAATTGCACGCTAACGGTCAGCCGAATCAGCGAACGACCCTTGGCTGAAAATATGCGAACCCGAGATTCCAACCCCAATGGAGTGTGTTTCAGACCCTAGAAATCAAATGAGAAACCAAATGACGCAGTAAGATTCTCAAGAGCAGAGTATTTCTGATCGAGTTTCTTCCTACGTCAGAGCTGTTACATTGTTAAGCCTATCGGAGGACAGGTAAGGATTATACATATCTGGTAATCGGTGCTACTATATACATCACGGCGTCTTGCATATCGCACAGATCTCATATTGGTATTATTGGCTATTATACATGATTATACGTTGGTTTGTACTCCGTCTTATCACTCCGTACTATTACTCCGTGTCCAAAATGTACATACAATATATATTTTATATATATATATATACCCTGTTCTTCAATATGAAACATCTGGAATGAAGATGAGGTCATGCATATCTATGATCTGAGGATGATCTCTGACCTTAACTCTGAAAAGAGAAAGGATCGATATAATACCAATACAACAGTACAAACAGTACAACATACCTATTCCTCACTAATCTCCTCTCTGTGAGGCAAATCTCGCATCTAAGTGGCTGGACCCTGCTTTACCCTGTGACTGATCATCGTCAATAATTCCCCTTTGGGATAACAATGCGGGGGCTTTTGGTTTTAGCGCGAAAAACAATATTTCACAATCAAGGGGGTACCTAATGGAAACTTACCTATTCTCTGAATCCACTACTGTGCATGAAGTACCTTTCAGGTACCCAGCAGGTACCCGAGTTTCCAAATCACACCTTTTCACCAGGAATGCTCGGGGGAACATTCAATAATAAATATACCGTTGTATACCGTTGTATGTATTGGTTGTATGATGGTATGATGGTATGGTTGTACGGTTGTCCACTTGTACGCCGTACTCTCCTTGAAATAATACTTTCCTTGTATTCCGTACTCCTTGGCAATTCACTCGGCATTCTGTTTTTCTTCCTTTTCCAAGGTTCTCTCGGAAGGTCCATTATTCATCTCCTTGGGACCCGGTGAAATAACAACCCTTTCTTTCTTTTGTGGTTTTCACTGAGACTAGCCTCATTTCCCTCACTAAAAAAGACCCTAGTAGGTTATTGCGGGGACCCGTTTCCCTAAACTTTCCCTGGCTTCCGTTGACATTTATCAGTTAAATCTCCCACCCTTTTTTTTTATTACCTCCTTTCCCCCGTAATGAACTTGCAATACATCTGCTCTCGATTATCCTGACTCTGAGGGCCTCCGCGGTCACTCTTGCTGGACATATAACCCACCGGATATGCCTTTCAATCTGAGCCTCGGGTCCCTAGCCCTGTTGATGGTATTACTACAAACTGTATCGGCTCAGTTCTGCTCGTTCTGGAATAACGGATGCATCGACTCCCTCGCTCAAACTGCAATTCGCTTCGATCTCAATCCTCTCTTTCCGGACCCCGTTACCCTCTACTATGGCTTTGATGCCAGTTCCTCCGGCAAGGGCACAGGGCCCATGACAAAGACGGCGTTTTGGCTGGGATATCAAAGTAATAATATCGATGTGAATGCTGTCGACTCGAATCGCACCTCGGAAATCGGCCTCAGAGTCGGCAACTTGACCGGTACCCCATCTGGAGCGAACAATGGATGCGATGGGATTTGGGGGGATGATTGTTCCCGTGATCTTAAGAGTGCCCTACAGGATGCCATCTATCGTCTTGCTGTGTCGGGCGAGCCCTATTCTAAGCCTCTGGAGGTCGTTCTCAACAAAATGTTGACGAAGCCGCCGTCGCTGCCTTCGTGCCCACCACCCACCCTTGATGTCTCGGCCATTCCAGTCCAAGGTATGTCAATCATTATATCTTATATCATTATGTTCTAACCTTCCTAGATTTCGCTAGAGAACGAGTCCCCGATCGGAACGTCACCATCATGCCACCTGGCTCGGGCGCCTGGCCTTGGCAGGTCTGGTATCTTGATAACATGAACGCCCGCAACCAAGCTTCCCAGGTCGCAGTTGGCATCATAAGTCGCGCCCCTTCTTACAATAGTTCACCACCGGACAGCCCAGACGACATCATGGTTGAACTTGTCTGTGTGCAGGCTCCTTCTAGTGGATCTTCCAAGAGCTCTCATGATTAAACTGGGATGTCGAGGTCGATCTTCCGATCGTCCTCGGGCGGGATTTTTTTCCCTTTACTCTCCCTCTCTCTCTTTCTGGGTGGTGGGTGATACATTACGCCCTTTGACCTATGGCTCTTCTCGGTACTTAGCTTGCAGTTTTCGTCTACACCTGCCACGCCATGGCGACATTCCATCACGGTGGGGAAACAAAAGCAAGTCTGAGCAAGATCCCAGGGCACTTATTTTCTTGGCACAAGTGAATTCGATGACTAGGTTGAAACGGCAAACTACCTCAGCGCGCCAATCCTTTTCTCTGTGTCAATGGTGGCGCCACGTCACTTTGAATACTCGGCAAGTTCCACATGAACAAAGAACAGAGTTGATTGATTCAATGCAAAGAAACGTGGAAGTCCAGTACCTATGCTGTACAGTGACATGGCAATACGTTGGATCTTTGTCACTGGCTTCTGGGAACCCACGAACTTACTCTTCTTCATCGCCACCGAATCGGGTCTGTCACCCCTGACATTCAAACGACAAGCTTAACAGGCTTTGAATGCCCCGGCCTCCAGGATACCAAGCCACCGGCCTGCTCACTCAACAGCACGCGATCCGTTTGGCTCCCAAGCTTCGCAAACCCAAGACACTACTTCTCTGGGTCTCATTCGAATCCCTATTCTCACTCACCATGTGCATTATCCGCCTTCTCCCAATGACCCTTGGGCATGTTGGAAAGGATAGTGCTGTTCATGTGGGGATTTCCCACATGGGCGCGAACAGGTCTTTTTCGAGCCAGCTATACTCTCACCTCTCTCCCGCCCAGATACATCAGTCATCCACCGTCTGGAAGTTGACATGTCTCCCCATCACCACCGTGTCCGGTGTAATTGATACCGGTTTTCATGCATGTGCTACAATCGCATGGCCCTATATGATATGAAGGCCACACAGAACAGAAATTAAAGGTTAAGCCCTTTTGGGATAGCTTGGTGGGGTGGGATTTGGAATTGTGGGACTTGTTTTTCATGAATCTGAATCCAAGGTCTTTAAGAGACCGGTCATTTAACTTGTGAAGATTATGTATAGTACGGAGTAGATACAAGTCATTGCAAATCAAAATAGCATGACTGTTGCCCGTTCTAGAGTGGGTTGTCAACACTTTCCACTCACATCCAAGCTATCTACCACGTGCATAGTACCTGCATGATACCTGTAAACATTGAAGATCGACACTTCTTTTACTTTTTTCCCCCTTTCTTGGCTCTTCTCTCAATTCTTCTCTGGTTTCTCTCATTTACCTTGTTGTACATCAATGGGGTCCTCGTCCTCGGGTTTATTCAAGATGCAAGCCCTCTTGGCCCTCCTGGGCACTACATATCTCATCTTGAATGTCGCATTTGCGGTCTCCCTCCCAGGAGACTCATCCTATGTGGCTGCTGCTGGGTTCCCGACCTCTGCATTCTCGTATGAGTTCTATGAACAGTCCGGTGGCTCAGGCACATAGATATGCTAATGCCAATGGCAGATCCTACTACCTTTCCCCGGCCCAGCCAACCCAACAACCCCAGCCGATCATCTATGATCCGGTGTTGGACCTCACCTTCCCTTATGAGTTGACAGATCCTGACAATATCCCAGACAATCAGGATGAGGTCTACTTCCCTGTGCCGCGAACTCACATGCCTGCCAAGAAGAGGTATAAGTTGGTTCAGGAAGCACTATCCAATGTGACCAACATCATCAAGTCGAATAGCTCAGCAAACAACTGCACCAAATGCAAGAACGCCCTAGCTGCAGCAAAGCCTGCAGCCTTGCATGGACCGGCTTTTGTTCCAGATGCTATGGTCAGCCTGTGCAAGACCTTTAGCTTCCATGATGATGAGACATGTGAGCAAGATTTTGCCACGAACACATTCGGCGCTATCTGGACTCAGGTTCTGGCCTATGCTGATGTAGAAGGGTTGGATGGTGAATACATCTGCCATTCTCTCGACAGCAAGTATTGCAGCGCGCCAAAAACCAGCCCGCTTGACACGACCAAGCTTTTCCCGAAACCCAAACCTGCAGATGCCCAGGCCCCCAAGGCAAGTGGGGAGCGGGTCAAGGTACTACATCTGTCAGACTTCCATCTCGATGCCCGGTATGCCGTCAGTTCTGAAGCAAACTGCACGTCTGGCCTCTGCTGTCGGAGTGACAACAACAACGACCTTTCCGAGGATAATCCACTGCTTTCTGCCTCTGCGTATGGCTCTTTCCTGTGCGATACCCCATATGACTTGGGTCTTGCCGCTTTACAGGCTGTTGGTCCTCTGACTGGAACTGGCAAAGGAAAACACGACGACCACCTTGCATGGACGCTATATACGGGCGATCTTGTATCGCATGATCCGGAATCCCAGATATCCATGGCGTTGACTCAGTATACCGAGACCAGCATTTATGGCATGTTCAAACACTATATCTCCGGTCCTGTCTTTGCGGCACTTGGAAATCATGACACCAGTCCTTCAAACATCGATTCTCCTCATAATCTCCCCGGGCGTCTGGGGGAACAGCAAAGCTGGAATTATGAGCACTTGGCTGGACTGTGGCGCCATGAAGGATGGATTAGTCGTGAGACCGCTGATGAAGCGAGCACGCACTATGGCGGGTACTCTGTCAAGACGCACTACGGACTGCGCATCCTTACATTCAACACTGGTATGTTGTCACCAACTCATTTGGGAATTGTTTACTCACTCTCATAGACTTGTGGTACCGATCGAACTTCTTGACTTTCATCAACACTACTGACCCCGATAACTCTGGAATTTTCTCGTGGATGATCGAGGAGCTGCAAAAGGCCGAGGATGCCGGTGAGCGTGTCTGGATAGTTGGCCATGTCCTCAGTGGCTGGGACGGAACCAACCCACTACCCAATCCGACCGATCTATTCTACCAGATCGTGGACCGCTACTCGCCTCACGTCATTGCCAACATCTTCTTCGGACACACCCACGAGGACCAGTTCATGGTTTACTACGCCAACAACGGGACAGTGCAGAATTCAGACAACGCCCTCACTACCGGTTGGATCATGCCCAGTGTCACCCCTCTGACAAACCTCAACAGTGGATTCCGTGTGTACGAGGTCGACACGGGCGACTTCAACGTCTACGAAGCATATACCTTCTACAGTAATGTGTCGGAGTACCCGGCACTAGAGCACAAGGGCCCGACGTTTGAGATTGAATATTCCACTCGTGATACATATGGACCGGCAGCTGAGTGGGACGAGGATGCGCCGTTGAACGCGACCTTCTGGCACCGGGTGACCGAGGCCATGGAGAAGGACTTGGAGCTTGTCACTCTGCATAACTCTTACCAGGGGAAGCGGAGTGTCAAGAGCCCTAACTGTACTACTACCGCGTGTCAGGAGGCCAAGGTCTGCTATATGCGCAGTGGTAGTGTTGCATTGGGTAGCCAGTGCCCTCAAGGGTAATTTTTTTTTTTTTTTTTGACTTGGGTGGATCTGAAAATATATATGCTGACCTTTCTAGATATGGTTCCGTGCAAAGCGCCTTTAATGTAAAGTAGTGAATGATCGCTATGCGAACTGATGGTAATGGAGCATAATTGCTGCAATTGAATTTTATTTTATCCAAGGAGGGATTTGTATTCTTTTTATATTTTTCTAGTGTCGTTATCCAACTGGAACAGACTTAGTTGATTAGAGTGTGGTGATAATAACGCCAATCTCGAGGGTGATTGTTTCTTCCTTTTTAGTTTTATCTTCTAGTTTAGCAATACTAGTCGTTGGTGCTATCTACCAAATCCTTCCTGTCTATGTTCTCCTAGTAAATGGGCCAATCTACAAAATGGAAATGATAGACATTGCGATGAAACCTAGATTCCTCTCAGCAGAATCTGCAAAAATTGGAATGTAGGTGGATCAAGGAAGAAAAGAAAGAATCATTGATCCAAGTGCAACCTTTATGATTTCATGTCCAATATACTATAGTATATAGTAGTTAGTATATTGTACAGCCATGTAGTCCAATAGACCGCTTGATCCCGGATGCATGACGTAGCAACGAGTTTTAGGGTTTGGGGATGTTGCTTTTCCCATGTCATCACTGACCTCCGGAGCATCCGATTTATAACGTCGATTTCCCAGAGAACTTTTATATAGTGAGATAGGTTATTCTTTTGCTCTTATCCTATATCTCTACTATATCTCTACTATACCTCTATACCAACCATCCCTCACGCGACATCTGGTTAACCTCAACCTCAACCTCAACCTCAAATTCAAATCTAAATCTAAATCTATAAAAATGGGTCTCCGGGTTGTGCAGCTAGGTCTTAGAGCCTGGGAGGTATGTGCAATATCGCAACAGCAAAACAAAAAGCCATGAAGAAATCACACAAGTTCAGTACTAACCAAACTCACAGTTCGTATGGACCCTGCTCATTATGGCCCTCGTCGGCAACATGATCGCCGAAGCCTTCTCCGGGAACCCTGCGACTGTGAACTACGCCATCTACGTAGCAGTGTTCTCAATGTTCACGCTGATCTACCTGATCCCAGCCTCGTTCAACATCAACTGGGCCGGCCACCCGATCATCATGATCATCATCGATGCGCTGAACTGCGTTTTCTTCTTCTGTGCTGCTATCGCACTCGCCGCGAAGCTAGAGTGCCACTCTTGCAACAACGAGGTAAGTGGAATTCGAACCTAAGATCGATCGTAGTGAATATGCGACGGAAAGAGAGCGAATAGACACTAACCTCTTCTCTAGGACTACCTCAGGAGCAATGAGATCACCAATGGCTCAGACAATATGACCAAGCGCTGCCGTGAGGCCCAGGCTTCTGTTGCTTTCCTCTGGTTCGCCTGGGCGGGTTACTTGGCCTCCGTTGTCGTCTCTGTCTTCCTGTCCCGTTCTGCGGCTGGTCCCTCGCGTACCAGCCGTACTGGCAGCCGTCGCGGAGGCCGCCCCAACATGACCCAGGTTTAAATGGGTCTTTTGTCATGGTAGGCGGGTGCGAGGTGCGTGGTGTAGATCGAGCTTCGGGCTTGGTTGTTATCGTCCTCGTCTGTCATGGTTATATGTACTACCTGGTAATTTGGGATACTATTGGATTATGGTTCTGGTTCTGGTTAATGGCGCTGACGGGGTGATGTCGGTATACGGTTGAGGTGTTTGTACGAAGGTGGTTTGTACGATCTACGAGCTTGGAGCTTCTTGGTTTTGATGTCTTCCCCTCATGCCTGCAACGATTCGACGGAAATGCCGTGGTTTTAGTCTCTGTTCGATCATGAGAGAGATGTTTGGATACTTAATGTGCTACTTATTTCATTAATAATATTGGTTTTGGTCTCCTTCGGGTTTTACCTGGCGTTGACTTTTATTTCAATATGTCTTTTCTATGGGTTGACAAATGTCCGTGGGGGTTAGCAGGGTGTCAATTAGGCTTGCGTAGGAAACTTCTGAAGTCGCTAGATAAAAACACAGAAAGACGTATTGTCCTGACACAAATTTTTACGGAGCCAGCAGGAGTTGGAAAATTGAAAACTGTCATTTTATACGTTGATTATTACAATCACAATAATCCATTGATCTAAAAGGTTAAATTAGTATCCAAGGTAGCCATTTTTGGTAGCCTATGTACCGTCAATTATCGTTGTAGCATAGGTAAGATTCCTATATGCATGGATTATGAATTCTAGGGAGCTGTACCTAGGTAGATGCATGTGCTTCGTCATGGGCGGGTTGACTCATTCAAGGTCCCGTGCGCAAAAGACAACCCTTGGGGATATTTTGGGAACTTCTAGCAGAAACAAATACATAACAATTTGGAATCAATTTCCAGATATATTAAATCCCATATATCTCCACGTTTACTCCGTACATTGCTAAGCTTAGGGCTTAGCGGGGCAAAACTTCCCTCCGCTCCACCCAAAGAATTTCTCCAGAGCTTCTGCCCTGACACTTTTCCCCCTTCATTTCACATCTCCATCAATATGCCTGTCCAGTGAGATTATCCTACAGTCCTATATTTGCAACCACTGACCCCCTCATTAGCTACCTGATTCTACTCTCCCGACAGGGCAAAGTGGTATGCCTCGTCACCTACCCAACTACATAACACCTGGCCGAAGCCCCCCAACTAACAACATTTCTCTAGCGCCTTGCCAAGTGGTTCACCACCCTCTCTCCCAAGGAGAAGGCCAAGATCATCAAGGATGTAACCCAGCTGGTGCTGTCCCGCCGGACGCGGATGTGCAATTTCCTGGAATACAAAGGTGACTTTCCATCCCCGCACGACCCCTTTTCACCGACGGGCTGGAATTGGACTAACAGGGATTGTACTCCTAGACTCGAAAGTCGTCTACCGTCGCTACGCTTCTCTCTTCTTCATCGCTGGCTGTGCCTCGACCGATAATGAGCTAATCACCCTCGAGGTGGTGCACCGCTATGTCGAGCAGATGGACAAGTACTACGGCAATGTCTGCGAGCTAGACATCATTTTCAACTTTCAAAAAGCATACTTTATTCTCGATGAGTTATTGATTGCGGGGAAATGCAGGAGACCAGCAAGAAGAATGTTCTTCGCTGTATCAGCCAGCAGGACAGTTTGGAAGATATGGAGGTGAGTTAGGACATGTTCCAGTTCATTTCCATGTGTATTGGCACTTTCTTTTATCAAAGAAAGAATCTCCAAAGGGGGTGTTGCTATACATGGCTATATTTGGACCCTTTATCCCATCTCCCCCTTGTCCCCCCAGCCATGGCCAAGATTCAGCCGGGCTAATTATTCCCCAGGTTGAGGAAGATGTGGTCACCAAGATCATGTAACATGAGCAAGCAGGATTCTTGCTCCCTTTTTTGTTTTTTTTGTGTGGGCGTACATAGGAGTTTTCACACGATACTAATCAATACAACTTGTTTCACATCAGGAGTCGGAAGATATGACACGCAATTTGGATCAAATTGGCCTATGAATTGTCCTTTCCATGGTTGGTCTGCTCGTGAGGTCAGTGCGGGTTCCTACTGGACCACGCCTTCCCACACGTGACTGTTTCCGGCGTCCTCCCCTCTCCGATCATCTGAGACCATCCCCTCCTGCCTCATTTTCATCTCTCTGTATAATCCCCTCATTTGGCGGTGTTGACTTGTTATAAGAACTGCAACCGATCTCCTATAGTTCGCGTTGTCTCCCTTATCCCTCCCCTGGTCGCCGTTATCGCCGATCGACATCATCGAATCTCCACCTTCGGCTCAATCACCCGTTGTGACAACACCACTGTCCCTCGTCTATCTCTCTCCCTTACTCTCTCTATATTTTTCTCTACGTCAAAAGAGAGATTTGAGCCTGTCTCTTCAAACCCCAGACCGACACGTCATCTCAAGGCGCTTATCGGCTTATCTCGGGATCTCCACTACCCCAGTATAACCTCACGATGAAGGTAAAGTCGCAACTCCAACGTGTCTTTCAGTTCAGTTCAGTTTACTTACCATCCCCGTCATATATAGTTTCTTCCCCTTCCAGAGTTTGAGGACGTGACTAGTTCTCTCAATTTCGACACGGCTGATTGCCATATCGTCGGTGGCTGTGACATCTACACCACCAAGGCGGCACGCTCCGATCGGAAACTGTACAATCACATCGAACAGTCACTCGAGGCTCAATATGAATCGGTCCTTCGATTTTCGGCTTCGCTGTCACCTCCAAATGCACACGATGCCGCCGAGACCCTCAATCTATCGCGATCTAGCCCGTTCGGACCCCTGAGCGACCATTCGAGCCGACGGACCTTTGCCTATTTGATCGCCACTCTGAACGCAAGTCATCCTGATTACGACTTCTCACACGTCCTGCGCGCCACTGATTTCCGACGCGAACGGAATTTGAAGCGTGTTATGAACACGGTGGACTCCACGCTACTCAACCTCCGACCGCGCGAGAGCACCAACTTGTCTCCTGCATCCCCCGCGACGCTTTCTGGATCGTATACAGCAGGTTCATCTTCTGCATGGGGCCCGCGGGTGTGGAAAACGATAGATGAGCACATGTCGCTCAAGGAGTGTTCAATCTACTCATATTCGCCGGAGGAAGACCCATCCGATGCCGATGATGGGGCTATCTGGAGTCTACATTTCTTTTTCTTCAACCCGATTCGCAAGCGTGTCTGTTACATTTTCCTGCGCGCGATTCCTATACTCAGCCACACCCCAGACGAGATGGCAACTACACCTACTGGGAAGCGGACCTACGACGACGGATACCTCACGCCGGACATCAGCTCCAGCAAGCGTGCCAAGTTTTGGTTTGGAGAACGCGCCAGATCGACCCTTATCGCCAGCGACAGTGATGACGAGATGGAGCGCCCTTCCAAGACGATTCGCAATAACTCGGTTGACTATGACACTTATTTGGTCAGTGACGACGAGGAGCATCTGCCAGTCGACCGTCGGGGAGTTCGGGCAATAAGTGAGGAAATTGCCGACTCGATGGAAGTCTAAGGTCTACCAATCAAGTGATTTAGCTTGTGTGCTTTTGTTTTTCGTTTCTTGTATGTCTTCTTTTGGCCCCGTTGATCGGGTATGATATTTCCAGCCGGAGGTGTTGGGTTAATGCTTTTTTTTTTTTTGGCTGGCGCAATCAACTTGCATGAATTTTTGACTTTTGTTCGCAAGGGGAGTTGTTGAATGGACGTTATTGAACGGCCAATATTGACATGATGCCCCTCAAGTTTGTGACTTACTGTCTAATACTACCCATGTCTATTTTTTTGGGAGATTTGTACTGCATCAAGTAGATGCAGATGTATTAATTTTAGGAAGTAAAGCCTTTTTGTTTCTTTCTGAAAACTCCGCTAGCATCCGTTTCAAATCCTATCATTGACACTAACCTGACAGTAAAGCAGTCTTTCATATGCCATGATCAACGCCGTCTGTAATTTCATGACTCTGAACCCCATAGTACCACGAACGAACCTTGTCCTGCTCGGGTAAGTGTTCAATCTGAATGATATCGACCCAAGTAAACTCAGGCATTACAACCCTCCGCTGTCAACCCTACAGACTCTGCCCTCGTCAATTGTTCCAAAATAGCAAAACTTCCCGAAGGCATGTCCATATGGCTTTTCCAACCTTGGACTTCCAGGGTTCGCTCGGGTTGATGGTGCGTAGGGCTGATTGACAGGGCCTCAACCCTTATGTGGCGTCAACGTCTATCTTGCTGATCTTACCTAGTAAGATTCAACAAAATCCAATATCATGGCCCATAGATGGTTATAAGTGATTTATCTAGCACATCTTTCGAGTTGGTATTACCTTGTACGGTTACCGTTGACATCTCAGTCGGACATATAGATCAGACACGTGGTCCGTGCATCGGGGATAGCTGTCCATTCTCTCCCTTCCGCTTCATCTTCCTCCCTATTTTATTATATCCATACAATTCTAACGATTAATCATGGCCGACGACGAGGAGCGCATTAAGGCTGAGAAGCTAGCCGCAGCCAAGAAAAGGGTAATCCCTCACAACTGACAAGATGACGTTGTTTTGGTCGCTAACTGGACTGTTGTTCTTCAGGTTGCCCAGCTCCAGAAGAAAAAGAAGGCTAAGAAGACTCCCGCCACTGGAGCGGATACACCCAAGGAGGCAGATGTCCCAACAGAGACACAACCTGATGAAGATGCCCCGAGCCCAGAGACACTGCAAGTAGATGCCCCCGCGGAGGAGAAGCCAAACATACAGGATGAACCGGCCGCACAACCCGAGGCCGCAGCCCCCAACAACCAGCGGAAGTAGAAGAACCAACTCCGCAACTTGCTGTTGATGCGAATATCGAGTCTCCTACCGAACCAATGCCTCCAGCGCCCACATCTCCTGATCCAGATGCTGAGCCGCTGCCACTCCGGCTCGATACACCCCGCGCCAGTCACGGCCGACAACCCTCGCTGTCAATCCAGTCAAAGATGCGCTCATCTTCATTCCGCAAGACCTCAGTCTCCCAGGGCAGCGTCTCCCCGTCTCCGTCTACTGCAAACAAGTCCCCCGCACAATCATTACCGCCCCTAACCGGTGACGGGGAGTCGGTTCACGAAGTATTCCGCAAACAGTCTACTAAGATCGAGGAGCTTGAGAAAGATAATAAACGCTTGGAGAAGGACCTCTCGGATGCAACTATGCGCTGGCGCAAGACTGAGGAGCAAGTGGAGGATCTGCGGGAAGCGAGTGTTGATGGCGTGGAGTTGAAAGAGCAATTGAAGAAGGCAGAGGAGAAGGTTGCAAGCATCGAGTCGTTGGTATGAAATCTTGTTTTCCTCTGATAGCTATATTTTCTAACTCGCGGAACAGAAAGAAGAAATTGCTTCCCTCCAGCGGCAGAACTCACAGCTCCAGACCCGGTCACATCGAAACACAAGTGCAACAGAGTCACCGCCAGCCGACCTTGTTCGTCAGCTCGAGTCCAAGTCAGCTACTATTGAGTCTATGGAGCTAGAGATCTCAAATCTTCGCGCCCAGGTCGCCTCCCAAACGTCCTCTAACGATGCACACGAGTCTCAGGTCGCAGCGCTAGAGGAGAAGGTTTCAAAGACCCAATCATCACTAGATCAATCCCAGCGTGAACTGGCAGACATCAAACAGGCATTGGCGCGGGCCTCGGAGAAAGCAGTCAAGGAAGGCGTCGATAAGACATCTACCGAAACGCTGATCAAGAATCTCCAGCGTGAGATCGAGGAGCACAAGAACGAAAAGAGCGAATCGGAAAAGAAAATCGAGACGCTAGACAAGAAACTCCAAGCATTAGGCAATCTTCACAAAGAAACTGAAGCCCGACACCAAACACGGTTACGTGAGAGCGAGAAATCCGACAAAGAAATCGCCGTCATGCGGAAAAAGGTCGCCAGCATCGAAAACGAGAACCTCCGCCTACGCGAAGAGAGTGATCGGATTCGGACTCGCCAGACTGGTGGAGGCGCCGACGATGACGCCCTGGACGAGCTTGAGGACGAAGAACGCCAGCGCCTTGAGCGCCGAATCCGCGAGTTAGAAGGGGAGGTCTTCGATCTGCGCCGCGGTGTTTGGCAAGAGAAGCGGCAGGAGATGGAGCACTACCCGGATGACGGACCTAGCCCTGCCTCTGGCGACGCGGCCAATGCATTCGACGACGTTGACCTTGTCGGCGGACGACCCGACCATGCCCGTCGCCGCAGTATGGCCCAGCAGCAGCACTCCTCCTTCTCCACTGTGCTCTCTAGCGGCTTTGCTGCCTTCACAGGAGCTGCCGGCAACCGCGCCCGCGCTTCATCGTCTAACCCGTCTCATCCCCCTGGTACCCGTGGAAGTCTTGAACTTGTTTCCGAAGAAAACTTTGATGACGAGTTCGATGAAGATGCATTCGCGCGTGCACAGGCCGAGGAAGAAGGCCGCAAGCGTGTTGAGTGGATGCGTGATATCAAGAGCAAGCTGCGTGACTGGAACGGCTGGCGTCTGGATCTGGTCGATAGTCGTGCCGGTGCAGAAGGGGCTGGCGTAGGCATGGGTGAGATATTTGAGGTTTAGCCTTTGTTTACTTACTTTACATCATGTGTGTTCTGGATGTACGATCATTTACAATATACCACGAGGTCGACTTCAACTTTACCTGGAGTTGACCAATGAACTTTGACGCAAAGAGTGAACTGCTGATGCAATGGACGTAGGATATCTAATGGAAAACCGATATAATAAGACACTTCAAACATTCGAACTGAAGCAAAACCAAAATAATCTTAATCCCATCTTAATCCAAAGAAGGCTTACCCGTCAAATACCCCTCAGACGACCTATTCTTCCTACGACCCCAGATATCACCAGCCCAACTAGTAATCTGATAAAGCCAACCACCAGTAACAAGCACACCCGAGATAGTGTTAATAACCCGAATCAGCAGCGACAAAAACCCCGCTCTCTCCTCGCTGACCAGCAACAGTATCGGCTCAAAGTTATACTTGAAGAAGATGCCAGGGATAACCATCGGCGACTCAGGGATCACGCTGGACTGACTCGTCGCCGCGTATTGGTTCGTGAAGACGGTGTTACGCCCGTACCGCGCAGCCGCAGCCTCCGGCGAGCTCGTGTACGCTTCCAGCGCGCCCTTCCCTCGACTGTATAGCGTCGGCACAATCGAAAGGAAGTACTGGAACTTGTAGTAATGCTCCTCGCTCTCGGCGATAGTCTTGTCGAGTGGGTTCTGCAGAGTCGGGTAATGCGGCCCGAAGGAGAGCTCCGTGATCATGTGGGAGAAGTTGAAGGCTGGGTGAGAGGTGAGAGCTGTTAGCGATAATTGTACGGGGATACGGGGATGAGAATGGCTTTGGCTTTTGGCTTTTGGCTTTTGGCTTTCGGGGATGGGGGACGGGGAGAATACATACACGAGTGATCGAGATGCGGTGCGTTTTCGCGATACCCATGGCCACGCGCTGTGATATGGAAGTCACCCTGCACCTTATTTCCCTCTAGACTTCCGTAGATGCGACACGCGTCTGGGACGACGCCGCGACGCATGCGCGGGCCCTTAGGGAACTTCCTGCGTGGGTTATTGCGCACCTCGCCGAGGACGTGGCCGACGTGGACGTCAGCCTCTTGTTCTGCGAGACGGTCTGTTTCTTCGTGGGAGAGGGTTTGGTATTCGTGGGCGCCGTCGGTGGTTTCGTAGTTGCGCTTTTCCATCCAGAGGAGCCAGTTTGTGTCGTCGCGTTTGAGGAGTTCGCCGGCTAGGATGCGGTCGCCGACTGCGTCTTGGATGTTTACGCGGAGTTGGTCGCAAGGCATGTGCACGACCATGTCGAGGTTTAGTTGGAGCTCGTGGGAGACGCCCTTTTCAACGCTGAAGTGGTAGTTTTCGGTGCCGCGCCACCAGGTTTTTAACTCGGACCAGCTGAAGATTGTGCATATGAGGAGGATTAGGACGGTCCATTGGCCGCCGCTGCGGGTTGGGGTTGTGTAGGCGGCTTTTGTTTTGGCTGGTGAAGGTGAGTAGCTTGTCTAGATGTTTGAACTTCGGAGGTACTCACGAAAGGCGTCGAAGGTCTTCAGGGCAGCCAAACCTGGCTTTTCCCCGAAGGCATCTTCGTTCAGACCCTTAGATTCGAAGCCATTCATCGCGAATCAATTATCCATGAAGGCCCAATGGAAGTTGTTGTCAAAGAAGTGGAGTAAATAAGATAAGATGAGGCCAAGTATCCCGATTGCCCAGTGGGGACATGCCAATGGTCCAACGTACATGTATATCGTGTCTTCTTTATATTTAGTTGCTTTAGCTGCTTTATTTATAGAAGTACTGCCTTAGAATAAAAAAAATCACATAGTCATTAATTCAGCTATAGAAGCCACTTGACACAACGTTAAATCGCTCTACCCATGAGCAACACATCGTAAACTCTTAAGAAATGCAATGAGAGGTAACAATGTACAAACACAGGGACCAAACATGGCCCTGAATGGGGGTCATCAAGTATAAAAACGAAGGGAAATGCATAAGCAAGAGCAAAACGTAAGGTATAAGCGATACTCAGGTCATAATGGGCGCAATGCAAATGCAGGAACAAGGGGGTATAACATGAATGCATCTCAAACAAAATGCCGACATGACAACCACCCGATGCAAGGATGAGAAAGTAAAAAAAGGAAAGGATTAGTATTACAGGGCATTCAACAGAAAAACAAAAGGTGCAAGATCATTTCCTCTGTCGGCTAGTCAGCATCTCATTCTTTGGCCCCTGGTTTTCAGATCGTTGGCCTAACTCACCAGGCTTGTCGCAGCCGCCGCAGTAGCAAGGTCTGGCTTTCCGCTGATACTCCGCGCCGAAACACGAGGGAGCGCAGATCCGGCAGTAGAGTTGCTGGACCCGCGCTTGCCGGGGCTGGACGGAGGACCGTTCACGGTCGAGTGTCGTTTGCCGCTACCCTTGACCGGGGAATTGGCTGAGGCATCGCGAGTGCGCATGAACCCGCTCTTTAGCGTTGTGCCTGGAGGTTCAGGGAGAGGACGAGCCGCAGACGGGACACCTCGCTTGGAGGGCGAGTTCGATGTATACATTCTGGGCCGGGGGGGCTTCACACCAGTGAGGAACTCGTGTTTCAGCGCATCATGAGGCGAGATGCGACGAGCAGGATCCCAGCGAAGGCAGCGAGTGATGAAGTCAAGGAAGGCTTCATCGTCACACTTCAAGGCCTGTCGGAGCTCCTTAGTACTCGGACGACGTCGGCGCCCCTTGGATGAAACAGTCAAACGCGGCTTGCCCAGGGAATCAAAGAACAACTTCTTGCGTGAGCTCTTCTCAATGAGATGCTTTTCCGGAGGACCAAAAACTTCCATGATACAAGCAAGCTGCTCTTGCTCATTCTCTCCTGGGAAAATGGGATAGCCGGTGAACAGCTCAGCCAAAATACAACCCAAACTCCACATGTCTATCGGCATGCCGTACGACATTCCGAGGATGACCTCGGGCGAACGGTAGAAGCGACTTTGGATGTAAGTATAGACCTTTTCATTCTCAAAGCAACTTGAACCAAAGTCGATGACTCGAATTTCGGAGTTCAACGGGTGAACGAGAAGAATGTTTTCGGGTTTCAAGTCACAGTGAATGACCTTCTTCGCATGCAACAGCACAAGACTGCTCAGCATCTGCTTGGTGAAAACACGGATCAGCTTCAACGAAAAGCCCCGGAATTCATGGGCCTTGATGAATTCATAAAGATTCATGCCAAGGAGTTCGGTCGAAATACACAGATGACCACGGAAATAGAAGCTTTGGGTGAAGTTGACCACGCTATGCTTGCCATGAGGATCCCATTCCTTCAGCTTTTGTAGGAGGTTGACTTCAATAAGGGCTTGTTGGTGGAACCGCTTCTTGTTGCGAATGATTTTAATCGCAACCAGAGCCCCAGTCTTGTGATCGACGCATCGCACGACCTGACCAAAACTACCCTTGCCCAGGACATCAACAACTTCGTACCGGTAAGCTAGATGGTCGCCAATGATAATGTTGTAATCACCACGGTCATCATCGTACCCAAAGTTCGCTGCGCTGGAGTGGAGATCTCCAACATGTTTCTTTGCAGTGTGGGTACCGCAGAAGAAAATGTCGCGATAATCGATGATCTCACCGCGTTCAAAGATGTTGAGCGTTGCCATCTTCAAGGCCTGGGCCGGACTGACACGATCCTTTGGACCAGCCTTGCGGCGCAAGTCGTCTAGCACACGCGCCGCCTTTTCAAAGTCTTTGCGTTTAGACCCAAGTCGCTTCATCTCTTCATCTGCAATGGCCACGTCTGCATCAACAGTGCTATCCGTAGGCCGGGAAGCAGCCGCAACACTAGATCTAGCGTTATTGATCATCTTGTGGACAGGAGAGATGTAAGTGCTCTGCACGCGTCTAGAGCGGTCGTTTTCGCTCGACTCATTGGACGGAGTTGGCTCCAGGGCGAGACTTTTCTCGCTGCTGACACTTGGTTTCCGAGTCGTGGAGTTGGTTACACTTGAAACAGAAGACTGTCGGCGAGGGTTGAGGTACGATGGTTTGGGATTAGGACTTGTCGAGTTGACCGAAGACAAGTTGTTCCATGTTGCAGAGGCTGGAAGTTTAGGCGGCGGCATATGATGGTACTTGGTTGGGTCAGCATCAGCTTCTGCCTTTTGGGGCTTCGAGTTGCTGCGAAGCCGTGCCACCTTAAGCCGGTCCCGAAGAGAAGTGCCGGACGCAGTGGCAGCGACACTCTCAGGATCCGAAGGCGTCGATATCTGGCTGAGCCGTTCTGGAGCGGGAGTGAAAATGGCACTTTGTGTTTGAGGTCGTGGACCATTCAACTTGTGTGCTGGCGTCCGATTCGAGTAGTCGGCGCTGACCTGGTGGCGGAGATGGTTGAGCTCGGCGCCACTCTTGGGCAGCGTGTATGAGGCATAGGGAGAAATGTTGCGAGCTGCGCTTGGCGTGTCAAATGACCCAAACGCGCTGGTACTGCTAGAAGCTCGTAGCGCGGCGGTTGATGAGCTGACGGCAAAGTGGGAGGTGCTGCTTCTTGCTTGAGTGGGGAGCAGTTGGTCTTCTTCGTCAGGGTACCAGAAATTCGCTTTGGATGCTGTCATAGGAGTACTGGGTGTCTTGGAAATCACTTGGTTGGAGGGGGTGAGAGCTTTGCGCTCATCATCCCTGTCCTTGAGTGCCTCGATTTTGGCCGCCATGGGTGTGCCCAAAGGCAACAAATTCAACGGGGGCAACTTCAAGGGCTGCAAACCCTTTCGTCCCGCTAGAACAGTAGAAGTTCGTGATCGCGAATCAGGGGTTTTCGTTTCGGTAGAGTGAACTTTTTCAACTTGGGCAGTGGTGTGCGTTTCCGAGTCTGAATCTTTAATGTTCAGAAGGCCCAAATCCACAGGAATACTTGATTTTCTGGTCGCGGGGAGAACAGGCGCATCCAATTCACCTTTGGGTGACTCGTAGGCCTTGGGGATCGCTGGAACCGGTGGAACCTCTTCCCCGTTGGAGTTTGTTTGCTCTGTGCGTGGCTTAGGCGTCGGGAGTCGGGACGAAGATAGATTCTGGGACAGCCGGTTTTGAAGAGAGCTCCCGGAAGTTCGCGCCGAGTTATAGCTGGTGTTCGAAGAAACAGACAACCCTGAGCTGTACGATTTGCGATTTGGGTCAGGCGTGGTTCGGTTCGAGGAGGGGGTGACGCTTTTCCTCGGAATTTGAGAGGGAGATTGGGTTGATGATAGAGGACGGATGGGCATAGGTTCTGTCTGGGTGGGAGGTGTATGTGGCATCGGAGGGGCAGGAGGCGCAATCGACATTCGCTTTAGTCGTCGTGCGTCAGTGGGACTGATCGTTCGAGCACCAAGTCCAGTGGCATGTGGCGGCATAACAGAAGTCCGCTTAGATGCAGAGGAAGGTGTCACCACGGCGCCAGAAGGGTTTCTTACCGGGGTCCGCACGGCGTTGGTGGAATTTGATCGTGTGTGGTCAACGACTCCAGAGGCAGTCAGCAACTGACCACGGGGTTCCCTTGGGCTGGGCTGGAATGATTTTGCCTTCATATTTCGAACAGAAGGCGGAACCTTGGCATCAGACTCCGGAAGTCGAGGGCGAAGCAAGTTATTTGTTGAGGCAGTGTCAGTGCTTATTTTGCGGGCACTTAGACTGGCGCGCCTAGCCGAAGCATTGGTAGGTGCAAATGCTCCAGAGCTGATAGATTTGCGCGGACCCCTTGAAGTACTTCCGGCAGCCGGCTGGGCTATACTTTGGCGGCGAGCGCGAGTATTGGCGGAGGATGCTGTGAGCCCTGCAGCGGTATTCGCACCATTCGCACCATTTGGACGTTGCACTTCACTCTTTCGTCGAGCGGAAGGACCCCGTGTACGTTCCGATACATTGCCCGCATAGGTGTGGTTTTCCCAGGGATTTGTTAGAGGGCCTGTTTCACGATTCTCACCCGAACTGCCGTTCCCGGGCATGGGGAAGTGGTTCAAGCTGGGCTCCCCCATGATGCTGTTATGGAAATCATCAAAGTTTACCGGCGCTAAAAAGTCCGTGTTGTCTGCATGGTTGGGATCAGCCTTTGACAGGTTGCCCACGCTCGTAGATCGAAGGTTAAAGCTTTTGGTCGAATCAAGCGTAGAATCAACAGAGGAGTTCCCAGAGTGAGGGTACGGGGTAGGTTTGCTAGATATCGAATTAGTCCAAAGCCAGCCACGAGAGCAGAACTGGACATACCTCCACCGCGAAGCGTCTTGCGGTCGTGGGCCCTGAGGAACCCTTTGGTCACGAATTGAAAGTCTTCTCCTATTCATCCCACCTGCGCGCGGTCCGGCGATCCCATTTGTCGTGTCAAAATTGTTATTGTTTGATGGAAAGTTGGTCGAGGCCGACTTCTGCAGGCGCCTGCGGCCCGGAGCCTCTGCTGTTTCTTGTTACTATCTAGCTGCACCTTCCCGACATCTTTCACTCTTACCTCCCGAACCCGAATCATCGTTTGAGGGATTGTATGCTGCTTCGGTCCGCGCTTGACCCCTCCCCGGTGTTTGGGGCTTTGTCGACATTGTTTGAGCTCTCGCGCGTTTTCAGAGGAAAGTCGAAAAAGGAGACTGGACCGTGCCAGAGATGCGATCGCAATTGCATTCAGGAGAAGTGCGAGGTCTCAAACCAAGAGATACTTGAGCACCGTCGCGCGACTCTTGAAAACAGCTACCGTTCCATTGCGAGTTGTGAAATAGCAATGGCCAACGCAGGTTCTCTTTGACAAATAATTTTGGGGGGAAAGCAGGGTTGCTGGGGCAAGTCCACTAAGGCGGTAACAGGGAAAAAGAAGGTAATTTGGGGGGGGCAAGTGGATTTTATAAGTTAACCCCCGTCAACAAAGGGGATTTTTAGATAAGATCGAAGCTATATGTGAATAATCACAGAGGAAATATATGCATATTAAAGCAAAATAACAAAAAAAATAACAAAAAATAACAAAAACTGAGACAAATGAAGGCCAAGCTGCTTTCTTTTTTAGTGTGAACTATTGGACTTCGAGGTTCCCCCTGATGAAAACAGGATTATGTCAGCTTCTTTCCCCGTTAGATCGGCAAAGCACATGCTTGACAGTTAGAATTCCCGTTTCTCTTTACACTTCATTTCTTCTTCTTCTTCTTTAAGATCCTATGTCTAATCATGGATGGATTTACAGAAGCTCTAAGCGACAACCCTAAGATTTCAACAAAACGGAATAGACCTGGTTCGCCAGATAGTTCCCATTCGAGATCTTCTTCTGTATCCAAGAACTCACTACAAGACCGCTTATTTACAAAGTATGCTTGGAATGGATTTCTTCCTGGATAGATCCAATAGATATGTGAGAAGTTCTAACGGCTGACGACTACAGGCTTCTCCAACAAGTTATTCCAACGGACGATGAAGATGAAACCGATTCATTGGGAGACAAGGCCTTGGCCTCTCCAAAGAAACCGGCTTTCAGTTTGCCTGTAATGGCAAATAATTTCCGTCGCTTTAATGCAAGGTAGGGCTGAATCATCTCATATGATATTATCCATGGATCAACTGAAACTAAACCACTATAGAATTGGTGTGGTATTTCTGTTTCAAAGTCGTCTCGAGCAACTATTCACTTGGGACACCCCAACCCATACCATCTCTTTCCTTTTTGTCTATTCTTTCATCTGCTTAGAACCTCATCTACTTTTGGTTTTGCCCCTAGTGGTTCTTTTGCTCTTTATAATGGTGCCAGCCTTTGCAACTCGTCACCCACCACCCCCAAGCACCTCGACGTCCAGTACTACTCCTTACTACTCCTATGATGGACCAGCCCTGGCACCAGCCACGACTATCAAGCCAGCCCCAGAGACTTCCAAGGATTTCCTTCGGAACATGCGAGATCTACAGAATTGCATGGCTGATTTCTCAGATGCCCATGATGCAGCTATCTCTGTTGTTGCGCCGCTGACGAATTTCTCCAATGAGAAGCTCTCTTCAACTCTATTTCTCGGATGTACGATTGCAATAGTAGTATTGTTTATCAGTGCGCATCTGCTGCCCCTCAAAATTGTGCTGCTTGTTGGCGGCAATGCGCTGATTCTCTCCATCCACCCAACGGTGGGGCAATTCATATCTGCTTTGATGCAGGATATGGCTGGGGATTCCATTGACACAGATTCGGATGAGAAAGATGGCTTCGCCTCATCGGTCCCTGCAGACCCATCTGCAGCAATGTCGGCCATGGAAAAGCTTGCAGATATCTCCTTGGACATATATCCCGAAGAGCGGGAGGTGGAAATTTTTGAGCTGCAGCACCGGGCCGCAGGAACGTCGGAGTCTGGGTGGGAGAGCTTCCTGTTCAGTCACGCGCCTTACGACCCGCTATCACCATCTCGCATCGCTGGGGACCGACCTCGTGGGTGCCGATTCTTTGAGGATGTCCGTGCCCCACGTGGCTGGGCCTGGAAGAGCAAGAAGTGGGAACTCGATCTAGACTGCCGTGAATGGGTGGTGGAGCGCATGATCACCAGTGTTGGGTTCGAGGTCCCAGGCGTAAATGCTGAAGGCAACGCCATTGTCGGAGAAGTTGGTGGTTGGGTTTGGGACTTGCCTCCAACTCGGCACGAGTCAGATGATGATTTGACATTAGCTTACGGAGACCTACCTGATTCACCATCTCCCAATGAAACCAAGGTCAAGGAGAAGGGGAAGGAGCAAGCGAAGTCACGGGATTGGGAGGAAGGGACTGCGTCCTACGGAGTGGGAGAATGGAGACGCCGACGATGGGTACGAGTGGTGCAACGAATAAGCCTTCCGCCGGCGGGGGTTGTTACCTACTCGACCCTCAGTAGTAACAGCTAAAGGAAACACGAGATAACGAATCCAAGCGGCTCAGTTGCCGTCCAATAATATTTACTTCGGGACACATGCATCCACGTAGACACTTTTAATAAACAGAAAAAGATAAACGCCAGACTCGCCCTAACCAGATGCTCAGAACAAATGAACAAGGCATTACGACTGATTCTTCTTCCACTTGTTAATTCTCCTCCGCAGATCACCCTCGCTCTGCTGCATAGGATTCAGCTTGCGATCACGAGTCATAGCAGTGAAATTATCTCCGTGCTTCTCAATCAAGCGCTGAGCCCACTCGCCCTCGCGCGAGCTCTGGTACCGCGGCTTCTTAGCACGGACAGTCTTGCCCTCCTGATCAGCCTGGCGCTCAAGCTGCTGCACAATCACCGAGTCGGCGAGAGCGTTGCTGTCACCATCACCTCCCAAAACATCATTCAGAGGGTCGTTGAGAGGGTTGTTGCGCGAGCGCTGAAGGCCCGCCACTTCGATGTTGTCTTCGTCGTCGTCGTGGATGACACGCAGAATCTTGCCAGTCTTGGGATCTCGCTCGACTCGGGTCTCGCCGAGGTCAAGCTTGGCCGCGGCTGCTTTGGCGCTGCCGCGGATGTGCAGCGAGTTCTTGTTGTCGGGGTATTGGTCCTTGTTTCCGGGGAGGCGTTCGCGGCCACCGGATGGTGCGTTCAGCTTGTGCATCAAACCAAGGCGTTGGTAATTTTGTGTCAGGGTCAGATCACGATCCCTATAGTCGTTAGTGGTTTGCATTTCTCAAGTGGGCAAGATGCGCATACCAGTTGTCGGCGATGATCTGATTGCCCAGCACATTGATCTTCTTGTGGCCGCTCTTGAGACGGCTGTCCTTGGCACGGGCTGTGGAGCGCCCAGAGCGGGCCTTCTTCTTTTGCAAAACTTTACCCATTGTGAATAGTGAAGTGAGTGTAGAGGTAAATTGGTTCCTCTTCTCTGTAGTCGGCGATAATAAAAAGCGTTATCGAAACTTTTTTTCTGAGTTTGCATTTCATGTCTTGGCATGTTTGCTCAGGGTCCCGCGATAAATAACGATAGCGGCTAGCTGTACTTCCATGGGCTGTATTGCCTGTCACTTAAACAGAACCTTGGCCAATTTCTTCGAAATGGCTTCTCGATTTTTCCCTTCGCGTAGAACAGGCATTGCCCTTGTTGCAGGATGCCTTTTGTTCTCAGCCTTAGCGGCAGCTAATGTTGGCCCCGGAGAGCTCTCCGTGGGCCAGATTGAGGAGCAATTGCAGGTACGCTGTACAACGTACTTTGTGGCTTACATTTGAACTAATCTGTCACAGAGCTGCCCACTTGTCGAATCTCTCAATGAGCACAAGCGTGCAACCCGCCCAGAGACTACTAGCTTGACGTCGAAGATCTTCGCTGTTCTCTTCCCGAGCACCCCAGCCGTGAACGCGCTTCTGGCAACTTTGTATATCTCCGGTCCACCGAGTAAGTCTTCCCCCTCAATACTCACGATAGATCTCTGCTAACTGCTTTAGACTTCCTCCTGGCACTATGCCCACCTAACATTGACCCCTCCTCGCTGTCAGTGATGGTCGCATTTGCCGTCGGCGGCTTGCTTGGTGACACCCTCTTCCACCTACTTCCCGAGATCTTCGTCGGCGAAGCCTCCCCCGACCACGTGAGCTTCGTAATGGTTGAGCCAAACAAGAACCTCCTTCTTGGCTTAGGAATCATGGTCGGATTCTTCACCTTTGTCGCAATGGACAAGGCCCTGCGCATCGCGACTGGCGGTGAGGGCGGCCATGACCACTCGCACAGCCACGCGCACACCGAATCAATCGATGCAGTTACATCCGGCGCCGAGAGCAAGAAGCCCAGCGGCGAGCTGAAGAAGCGCAAGTCTGCTGCGAAGGAGTCCTCTGAGGTCGTCTCCGAAAAGGAAATTAACCCAAGCGTGAAACTTGGCGGTTACCTCAACCTCATCGCTGACTTCACCCATAACATCACCGATGGCCTTGCCCTTTCCTCTTCCTTCTATGCTTCACCTACCATCGGCGCAACGACCACTGTGGCTGTCTTCTTCCATGAAATCCCCCATGAAGTTGGTGACTTTGCCCTTCTTATTCAGTCTGGCTTCTCAAAGCGCAAGGCCATGGGTGCACAATTCGTTACTGCTATTGGTGCATTCTTGGGTACCATTATTGGAATTGCCGTCCAGGAGTTTGGTGGCAACGGCACTATGTTGGATGATACCGAGCCTGCTGGTCTTATGGGAACTAGCCTCACTTGGGGTGATATGCTTCTTCCGTTCACGGCAGGCACATTCTTGTATGTTGGCACCGTGGCTGTGATCCCAGAGTTGCTGGAGACTGGTAAGGACAAGGGCGTTGAAGTGCGCAAGACTATCACACAGTTTTTGGCTGTTGCTCTTGGGGCCGGTATTATGCTCGCGTAAGTATCTGTTCCCCCACCCCCAGGCCACAAGGCCTCCGTGGTACAATTATCACTAACACACTTTGTAGCATTTCGTGGGATTGATTCAGTTGTGTTGGGCAATGGTATATGCTGATATACACCAGTAAGCTCATTTTGTGCCCATGACTGTTAAGCCTCAGTGCAACGACAAAAGTCGATACCTTTGGTTCAGCCAAGAATAAATAAGTGACGCCCGACTTGTAAATAGACCAATGCCACGTTTAACCAGATGCTACAGTGCTTTTTATATACGACCATTTAGATTCATCTTGCACGAATAAGTAACCGTTCATTCGAGATGGCATTAGCCACGTTAGAGCCAAAATAAATGCACAAGAACCTTCAAGCCAGCAACGCCCCTAGAGCTAACTCCCCTCCAACATGAATGAATAATACCCAGTCATATTCCTTGGTAATACACAGGATAATGCAAAGTCAATTTTAAGACTTGGGGACGCAACCATCCCAAGTACGTATGAAATAAAAAAGCCTCGACGGAAGGACGGATGCCGAAGTGAATGATGTTAAGAGAGGCGAGAAAGAGCTTGAGATGCGCACAGCGCAAAGTATGCAAGCAATCGAAATAGACATTAGACGAGGCTGGAAGCCATTTACTCGTTATAATGGTAGACCTGGAAACGTGTTAGCAAAAAACATCCACCTTATCAGCCAATTAGGTTGGGGAATCGAAACATACGAAGTAATCTGGGAGTCCAATGACCTCGTATCCCAGTCTTCGAGCCATCTTCGCAAAGCCCTCCGTCTCCACCAAATGGAAGAACGGGAAGGCGGGGAACATGGCACCATCACGATGCACATCAGCCTTGACCAACAAGGCGGTACCGCCAACACCATCAAGAGCAAGCATCTTCTTCGGATCGAGCTTTTTCATATCCGGCAAGTGCGCCATCAGAGTACGATACGTAGGCATCTCAGCGTAGCCTTCCAAGAGAATCTCATCAGGCCCCATGTTCGCAGCGAGGTTCTGCGCAGTCTGACTATCAACCCAAGAGTTAAAGTCATAAGGCCTGACATCCCACTTCTTCTTGGAGGTATCATAATAGCGCTGGAAGCAATTCGGCACAATTACCGGCTGATCGAAGGCTGTCAGATCCTGAATGAGAGCAGCCGGTGTCTCAACGACATCACTGTCCAGCCAGAGGACCCACGAAGTCCCGGGACCGAGCGTTGTGAAGACCAGACTGTTTCTCGCGCGACTCATGGACTCACGACGCTCTTTCTGCGCTTCCATGGCATGGCGGGCCTTTTCATCCTGGGATTTCAACGGCGGATCGAAGTCTTGGCGAAGGATGCTGATACTCGCGAAGCGGTTGTCGATTGGTCCCGACTGCGTCTTGGAAATGGCCTTTTCCAGAGCCGCAACTGCGGCGTTTCCTTCGCTTGTCTTCGGTGCGATGAAGCCCAGGGATATCAGCTCGTGCGGATAGCTCAGCCTCTCGATGTTATCCCAGTATGCTTGGTAGAAGCGGGCTAGCGGAGTCAGGATGAGGACCCGCTCGCCGTTGGCAACAGAGTCCGCGGTGTTGGTTAGGCTGTTGAGGTCGTAGTGGACAACCGGAGGAGCTGCCTTGTATCCATCGCTTCGGACTGCCTGTGATTTGAAGAAGGGTTTTGTGGGTGGGGATAAGGGATGTTCGGCGGCGTTTTCCTGGCGTTGTTGGGAGCTAGCGGATGCGGAGGATGCGGAGGGAGTCGAGGGCGAGAGCATGAAACATATGAAACCGAATGCTAGCAGCGCTGCTAGCACGAGGCTGATTGGGCTCGTGCGGCGCATGGAGCGTGCAACGGCCATGGCCGGTCAACGATAAACGTCGTTAAATGTTTAATTGGAGATTGAGACGTGTCCAGCGAAACCGCTGACGTCCTGATTGCGTTAATGCCTCAGGCACCAAGGAATCAGATTTCAACCTTGCCTCAATTCCTCCCCTGGTGACAACTACGGGAAATTGATTCTGGTGTGAAAGGGATTGAAAAGATGTCAAAGAGAACTACTATGGATGATAGATCACTTTTATTCTTTGCCTTGTCCGGAAAGAGACAAACCAAGACAACCCATTGTCACCTCATTATCAAGAACCCTTCAACGGCGGCCGAGATCATAACTTCAGCTGCATGGTCCAATTATGAATCGCCATTCGCTCGGTCTTGGAACGTGTCCATTTTATCGGGGGATAATTTAAAGAGGGTCCCGAAGGGTCTCATCGCCGAATGCGGCCCGTCACTACATGGTACATTCCTGATCACAGACTACCACGACCCACGATTGACTTTCTTCAGGGGACAATAATGCATAAAACAATGGGTATTTTCTTCTAAATAATTATATAGCCATGAGACTTCGGTATATTCAATCATTTTGGGTTCGTGTAGACCATGGAGGAGTTAGTTAGGGCAAGGCACGCATCACACCCTCGAACGCAACCAGAGCCATTGCATTCGCCGGGAATGCCCTAAGGAAGCATGGTACAAAGCCCCGCCAGTACCCTCTCCACCCACGCTCACGCCATACGGCGACCGCAGCGTCCTTC